AGAACATAAGTGATGATGAAAACCTTACATATACAGGTAGAAACCTAGAAGGTAACAGGAAGTACAGGGTTTCTGGATGGTTGCTTTTATATATTTCAATAATATATTTGAACACGTACTTCTCATTATGTCAACGCTAAAGAAATATAAACTGTTCCTGATAAAAGACCAGGAAAATGGCCAGACATGATGGTGCACACCTATAATCCCAGAACTCGGGAGGCTGAGATAAGAGGATTGCTGTAAGTTCACGGTCAGCCTGAGATACCTAGTGAGCTCAAGGCCAGCCTGAACTACAGAGCAAGACCCTGTCTAAAAACAAAAGGAGAGCTAAAGAAGGAAAAATGGAACTAAGTTAAATCCAGTTTTGTTTTCCTTAAGAATAATGCAATTTTAGTATCAGCTGTGATGTCATTAGTGCTTGGATCTCTAGTAAGTTCAGAGGCAAATTTGTGACCCAATCTTTTTAGAATTGTTTATATTACAGTTGCTTTATTTAAATTGGTTCAGACCAATTTAAATTTGTGGGTTTGTTAAGCATATAAATAAACAAAATTACTGAGGATAAATTGTGAAGAACCTGAGATACCCAAGTGAGCATATAAGAGAGGAAACAGAACCCACGCCACACTGTGATTTCAAACAGAGAAAGAAACAGGAGCACAGCTGTGTTTCTCATTCAGCTGACAGCATTTTTTTTTCTTTTTTTCTTTTTTTTTTTTTTTGTCTTTTTCTTTTTTATCGGTACCGGGCATCGAACTCACAACTGCCTGCTTGCAAGGCCGGTGCTTATGCCGCTGAGCTAAATCCCCAGCCCCCAGCTCATAGCATTTTGTTTTGTTTCATCTGTGAATATTTTGGCCTTCAACAATTTATATAACTTTTTCATACTGAAAATTTCCTTTATGAGTATTTCTATCTTTCAGAAGATATAAACTAGCATTTTACTTATGTTGCTTTTCAGTTTCAGTGTGCACGGAATGCTTCACAGGGAGGAATAAAAGTAAAGACTTCTGTTACGTATGCTCACATGTCCCTCTCCTGTCACAAGGAAATCACCCTTCTTAATTACCACTTTCCTCTCACTCAAAAATCTTTCCCGGCCATCTGAATTCTCTGTACTGTGTCAACACGAGGTGCCCCTCGGTGCTGGCTCCAGTCCACGGCCCGGCCTCCGCCCTCCCCGGCCTTCCGCCACGCGTGACTTCGTCCTTGGCGAGGGCTGCGGCTTTCCTCCCGTGTTAGCCGCCGGCCTCCTTTGCTCACCGCTTCCCCAGGACGTTTGCTTACCCTTGGATCTGCTTCTCAGCGCTCGGAGATCAGCCTGCCGGGCCCAGAGCTAGAGTTCTCCATCAGTAAATCCGCCACTGAAGTCTTTGGTTATGTCACAAGTTTTGTTTTGTCTTCTGCTTTCATTGTAGCCCTTTTAGCATAAGAATTATGTATACACTGTCTCTGTAAATTTGAATAGCTCCACAAATGCTAAATCGAATCTGTTTTTTTTATTTTCTAGTACAATAAGAGATACATATAAAAAACAAATACAAATTCTGAGTGACAACCTGGAAAGAGAAAATCAAAGATGGTAAAAAAAAATTTTAATGTGTGTTATTTTAACACAAATTGCACATACCATTATTTTAATGTGTATAAATGTCATCTGGAGCCCACGGGAACAGTTTTCTTAAATAACATTGTGTGAGTTGGGTGTATATGTGGGGTGGTTAACAGCTTAGCTTAGCAGCGTAAGCACCTGCCCTGAATTGCGAGGTCGCGAGTTCGATCCCCGGTACTTAAAAAAAAAAAAAAAATGGTGTGAGTTCTTTCGGATCTAGATATATTTGATAGCTTGATTTTTTTGGCATTGGACAAAGCCAAAGGTTTCCGTTGCAATCGAATGGAGTCACCGGAGGCTCTAACTGCCTGTGCTTGTGCAGTGTCTGCTGCTCACCCTGGCTTCTGTGAGACTCGGGTGGGTGAGTGTGGTGACAGAGTGGGGACACAGTGGTCGGCACCACAGTCCCTGCACAGAGGCTGCACTGGTTTCTCTGTCCCACAAACGCAGTGACTGAGGTTAGTACTATTTTCTCTTGGTTCCCACCCCTCTGACAGCATAGCAGCCACCTTGGTAAAGCTGTTGTCAACGTCTGCAGATCAAGGGCAACAAGGAAGCACTTGCCAAGACTTAGTGCATTTTTTTTTTTTTAGTATTGCTGTTATTATGTTATTGAGGTTACAATTCATGAGACTCTTAATTGCACATATTTTACTATCTTTCAAGTAGGTAGTTGTTTTATGTTGTGCTAGAGATAAAAGATGAAGAACCCACAAGCTTGAAATCTCTTACTAGCGCTTTGTGGATAATTCCATTAATAGTTCTACCCCGTCTCTTCCTTCTGTACCCAGCCCAAAAATTCCTCTGTCCCTCCTCCAGCTAGAGCAGTGAGCACCTCCACTGTGGTGCTCAGTCCCAGGCTTGTCCCTGGAAAGCAAATTGCAGACAGAATTTGGGGAGCAGTCATTGTTTTGTTCTTTTGCTTTGGTTGTGTATAATCTGTAGCACCAATGGTACCAACACTTTTGCAGAATTACAGTAGGATTCGCTTTGTTTTGAATTCCTTCATCTTTTTGTTAAAATAATTCTTTTTGTTCTAATCTCCAGTATTTTATCTCAGTGGAAACTAGCTTGTTTAAGAAAACAGCACGCACGATGGCTAGCTGAGAAAGCAGCTCAAATAGAAGAAATTGAAGAGGAAATTGAACATGCAGAACAGATGCGAAATGAATTATTGGAAGAGGGAAGGGAACCTATTTTGATATTTAGAATTATTCTATATACCTGAATTGCATATAAGTGATTCTCTTTCAATATTTAACTACACTATATTATATTAAAAGCTGTTTTCCTTTCTGCTGACTTCAAATTTAGAATGAATTCCTTAATTTCTTCCAAAGCCTATCCATTAGCTGTATTACTAGAAGTATTTAGCAATTTAAGTAGCACTTCTCTCCAGAATGTTTTTAAAGGCTATAACCCTCTCTAGAATGTTTTTAATAAAGGCTGTAAATAGGAATGCATTTGGTGTTAGTCTGTAAGGGAATTGTCTCTAAAAATATGAGACTAAACAGCACTGATTACTCCACATTTTCTCTTTGCCCACTGTCTTCCTCCCCTCCCATTCCTCATGTCATTTATACATATTGTTTGGTAAAAAAAACAAACAGACAAAAAAAACCCCCACAAAAATCAAACAACTTAATTTCTGGAGGAAAAAAGAAATCTTTCTCAGTAGTTACTGAGAAATCATATAACATGAAATCACAAGTATCTCTCCTGCAAGGAGACACTAATGTACCCAGCTGTTTGAAAATATAAGATTGACCACCACAAGAAAAATTTATAAAAATTCTCATTTTTTTTTTTTACTTAGACCAAACTTAAAGAAATGGAGATTAATGAATTTGTGGTCCAGGTCGAAAACCTTACAGCACAACTGAAAGAAGAGGAGAAAGAGTTTATAATGAAGGAAAAAAAGTTAATTCATGACTTAACCATATTTGAGGTAATTTTTATTTTACATCTGAGAATAATTTGGGATAACTACATAGTGGAAAGAGGTACAATATTTCACATTCTTCTGACCAAGTAAGTGTCAGTTAATCTTCCAGTATAGACAAAGGTACAGTTTTACTGCAAATCTTTCCTCTTCCTTACCTGAAAAAGGAATACAAATAGAAAAACAAGAAATACTTTTGGCATAAAAAAATAAAGGCACAGACTTCAGATTATGCAGAACTGCTGGGGATAGTGGCCAGGCGCACTGTGCAGGAGGCCCTTGGGAGCTGTCTGAGAAAGGTGAGAGAGTAATGGGGTGCAGAGAGACTAGCAACATCCTTCTGACCGGGGAACTTCTAAAGGCAGCCTGTAGTGCAACAGGACAGTCATGCAGGGAAGGAGGTAAGAACAAGCTGTGAAAAGGCCACAAGGTTCAGGCCTGCAGAGCACAACAAAACACCTTACAAAGTGACTATGACATCTTTTTATTGCAATATTATATCTCATTATTTCTATCCCTGCCCCATTTTCATTTATATCCACAATTTTAAAATCACATATACTTTGTTTTGATGCTTTTTTCTTTTCTTTTCTTTTCTTTTTATTGGTACCGGGGATCAAACTCACAACCACCTGCTTGCAAGGCAGGTGCTTATGCCGCTGAGCTAAATCCCCAGCCCCTTAACAGATTTTTTTGTTTTGTTTTGATGCTTTTTTCATAAAACACAACCAACCCGAGGAACTTTTCAGGTATGTTTTTGTTTGTATACATGGTAACAATGGAAATACAGGAATAGAGATATGGAACTGAAAGGATCTTTGGAAAGACTACTGAATCCAACCTCTTTACAGAATAGATTGCCAGTCACGTGAGTCGCACAGTGAGCGTCTGTTAAACATCTAGGGCAAGCCAGACGCTGTTCTGTTCCCCTCCGGGTAGAAGGAAGACAGAGCCTCCCCCTCAAAGAACTTCCATCCCACTCCAAATTGTTGAGTAAATTATCCAAAACCACTTCTCAACTAGTTTTACTTTCTTTAAAGGATTTAATTCTTAAGGAAACAAAAATTAACAAAGAAACAGAAGAAGAGCTTAATGATAGTCTTCCACAACTTCATATGGCAGAAGAAGAGTACATGGAAAAACACCGAAAGCTACAAGAGCTCTGTGCGATCCTCGCAGGTGCGTCTGCAGCTCTTGGTGGCTGCCCTCCTCCCAGGTCCTCCCAGCAGGAGGGCGGGGCACCCCTGACAGCAGTGGTGAGGCTCGCCCACCTGTGTCGTCACTGTAGCTTGTCACCCTAACCCTTCTCCACACCACAACCTTACTGTTGCTTTTATTGTTTCCCTTTCTCTCTCTTAAAGGCTATTAACAATTGGCAATTAGTAGTTCCGTATATTGTGTTCTCTCCAGAGTTGGTAGAACTGACTCCTGGATCAGGTACCACATGAATTTGCTAATTATATCTTCTTTCTTTAACCATTTATCAAGTGGATGGTACCTCAGATTCGTTTATAACTAGCCTAATCCTATGGTAAGATTTATCTCAGATCTGAAAGCTGAATTGAAGATAGAAAATATTCCTGGATCTAAGGGTTTTTGCATTCTATGACATAATATAACCATGTGTGAGCTTAATATTTCGCTTAATGTTTCTCTCCAAAAATTGGACGTAATTATCTAATCTTATATTCATGGTCCAGAATCACCCAAGATGTCTGAGTTATATCTTGCATTTAGGGGGTAGAGGATCGTTTTCCAAGGAGTCAATGTGGGTCAATAAGCAGGAACCACTTCCAGACCTCATATTTCCTAGATGACAAAAGAAGACCATGGGAGGTGGAATACCAGGAACAAAAGTTACAGAAAGGACTAGAATAGGAAAAAGGCACCCGCTGGGGTAGCAGTGGAAGTGACTACCTAGCAACGAGGAATATAAGAATGAGAATTTCAAAGGTTGGTGTCAAAATGGGCCACCATATGGAGGACCAGGGTGTCCAACTGCAAAAGGAACAAATGCTCAAAAAAGAAGTGATTATTGCCAAGAAAATGTGATATTTTAAAAATATGATAATAATAAGTATCTGGGTAATCAGTCTGGTTCTCCATTTGTAGTTGATTTTCTACGTTTTGTCAAGGTTTTGTTTCACCGACTTAGGTAAACCTCTTTGATCTTCTAGCCAGCCCCAGAAGTGTACGTACTTCTTCCCCGGTTTCTGGCTTCCCTCCTTCCTATCCATCTATACACGGCGGAGGATTTAAGAAACATAGTGCACATGAAAGTAAGCCGCATGAAGAGCCCTCATAGTAGATAGTGGATGTTTAAATTTAAAAAATTATTACACATTGCCATTAATCCTCTCCAAAATCCTCCCCTAACTCAGATCACTAATTGCACCCTCCTTGCCGCCTTCTGAAATGGTTCTGGGGCTGGGGATATAGCTCAGCTGTATAGTGCCTGCCTGGCAAGCACGGGGTCCTGAGTTCAATTCCCGGTACCAAAAATAAAAATGCTTTGATGAAATGGTTCTGGCAGTCCTCTTTCCTGAGTGTCATTAGTAGGTGTGATTTAAAAAACAAACAAACAAACAAATACAGTGAATGCTCTCCTGAGTGGCATACAAGGGAAAGACAGGTTCATAAAAACAACATGATGTGTCCTCCTCCAATTTATTCTTCAAATCTGGCATCGTGGGACTTCTGGCTCATCCCCAAAGTCAAGGTCATTTGAATGGATTCAGGACATCAAGGGAGCCAGGACAACTCAATTAAAGACACTCATCAAAGAAGACTCCAGAGCTGCTTCAGGAAGCAGCAAGAACCCTGGTGTGTGTTGGAAGTAACAGAGCCGTTCAAGGGGGTTGATGGCAATGTGTTTTACTGTAATAATTTTTAAAATTTAAACATTCAGCATAGTTTTCACACATACCTTACACTTCACAGATACTGATCTCTTAAGGTAAAGAAAAGAGAAAAATGCTGGAGAAAGCAGAGGAAAGAAGGGAAGACAGGAGAAAAGAAGGAGGCACCCTAAGAGCAGCAGGGATCGGTGTGTGGGCAAGGTCTCCTGCCAACGTCGCGCTTACAGGCAACAGACAACAGGGCTCAGTTAACTCAGAGAACAGTGCTGTGGCTTTTACAGCACACAAACATATCTACTCCCTTGACAGCAACAGCTTACTAAAACTTGAGAGACAATGCATTTCAAAATTCTGAAGTAATAAAATCCCTAATACAGACAACTAACCACATTATCAATCAAATATAAGCCTAGAAGAGATGTATTTGGATGTACAAGATCCCAAAACACTTACCCCATGTACCCTTTTTCATGAAACTAGTATAGAATTTGCTTAAATAAATGGAATAAATCAAGAAAAGAGAATATGAGACTCAGGAAACAGGAAGTCCAAGAAAAGAGATGGGCAGAGAGCAACTCAAGGAGGTCAGCTGTGAAGCAGTTCTACAGAAGAAGGACTCCAGAAGGAATAGCCTGGAGGGGCAGAAGCCAACTAACAGATTCACTAATGTGTTAGGTGTTGTGGTGGAAAGCTGAGACAACTCACGAAGAGAAAGGTCCTTTTGGTTTACAGTTCTGGAGTTCCAGTTCAAGACCAAACTGACCCACTGCTCTGGTCCTCTATTGGGAGTGCTGAATGGCAGTGGCAGGAAGCAGTGGTGGAAAAAACTTCCCCCTCTTCATAAGCCAGAAAACAAGGAAGGAGAAGAGGAGGCCGGGCCCAGAGGGCTTCGAGGGCTTCCCCCCACCAGGCTCTCACCAAAAGCCTCCTAATTGCACTTAGCCTGGGGATGAAGCCTTCAGCACGGCAGTCCTTCGGGACACTGAGAAAACTACACAAGAGAAAGAAATATTCAGAAATACTTTACAACTCTGTTGTAGGTTGTGGATTAATGATATATACATGAAACAGTGAGCACATTTTCATAGTGAGGTAATTTTTAACTTCAGGCAAATCCAGAAAAATATACCATCTAGCTCATATGTGAGTAAACCTTAGATTGTCATAATAATGTAAACAGTTATAGTTTGTTTAAACAAAAATAATACCTTTTGGGGAGGTTGAGGGAGAGATGGAGAGGCTATGGGTGTGGGGCATGTGGAGAAGGGGGGAAACATGCTAAGTCCCTCTTTATTAAGAAGTAAACAGGTTAGGGGCTGGGGATTTAGCTCAGCGGCATAAGCACCTGCCTTGCAAGCAGGCGGTCGTGAGTTCGATACCTGGTACCGATAAAAAGTTAAAAAAAAAAAAAAAGAAGTATACCAGTCTTAAAATGACAAATTAAGAAATCACTATGTAAGTACATTTTTAAGAACATTGTGCCACATTTTTAAAATGATGACGCTAAGGACTCAGACACAGGGACAGATACAGCACTGGGGAGCAGCTGAGGTCTGGGTTTTGTTAGAGTCAGCAATGCTTCATAGTGTTATTTGACTCAAAACTAAGCACATGTCTTGCTTTGAGTAATGTTTATAGCTTAGCAACATTGTGGACAGTTATTTCTGTGTCTTTTTAATAGCACAAAAACAGGAGGAAACTTTGCTGAACTCGCACATTGCTCATGTTACAAGGGACTTTTCAAGATTTGTTGATCACAAGGTAACTAGCAGACAGTTCATTAGACTCCTGGCACGTACAGTCCTGCTTATACAGCACCAGTGAAGTATTAAAATTACTTGTCCAATGCCAGTGTTTGTAAGTTTTGGTCACCATATACATATGTGGGGTGTGAATGAGGTAGATCTCTGGAAAGACTCCCATGTGGTGGTGCGAAATTACTAAGCGAATCTCCCTTTCCTTATTCATGAAGTGATGACCAGAGTGCGCTTTTTAAGGTTGAGCATGCACATGTGGGAGTGGAAATGACAAATGGAAACGGGCAATAAGTTGTTGGTTACATTTTAAAATACATAACATGTAGATAGTCATGAGGTGTGTATGTGGAGCTGATTAATTTAAAATGGCAATATCCCATCCTGTAGGGTACATTGATATTACAAAGTAATTTTTACTGTGAAATATGAAGAAAATTATAAGTAAGTATAGTATATATATATGGTCCTGTACCTTAATTAGATGCTGCTGGTGCTGATTATACAAGGAAGAAAAGCCATGTGGTTTATCACAGTACAATATCCACAACCTGAATACAGAATTCAGTAGAGAAAACAGTAAAGGATATTTTTAAATCCATAAAATGCTCTTCTTTTTCTCTTTAAACAAATTTTAAATTTCCTTAATATAAGCCTCAACAATTTCCTCCCACAGTTTTCACAGGCAGTGTTCATAGATCAAAGTGTATTCAATTTTGTGAAATTATCTGTATCTGGAACACTTAACTGGGATCTGCAGGCCCTTCCTAGAGGACGTGAATTCATTGTCATGAATTAGTTTAGAGGTTTGGAAGTTTTTCTAAGGAAGGATGTCCATAGTCTCAGCCAGATGATTCTAGAAGTTAACTTGGAGCCCTCCTCTGAATATGGCTAAGCAGTCTAATACTCTGCTGTTCTGCTCTTTGAACTCCATAACATAACTGTGGTTTTTATGTTTGAGCAGGAGAAATTAAAGGAACAATTAAAACAAGTACGAGATCTAGAAAGCCAGAAAATCAAAGAACATTTTGAAATTCTAAAGAACTTAGAAAATGAAATCTACTTACATGACCAAAAAGTAGACCTTTTGCTTCTGGAAAATAAAAGAATAAAAGAAGTAAGTTCTTTTACCAGGGATAAAACTCACAACCTTGCACTTAATAGCCAAATGCTTGAGCCACTGAGCTAAATCTCCAGCCCTAAGAGAAGTTCAAGAGTTCCTCTTTTTTGCAAAATGATCTTTGTTGATTAGATCAGTAATAGTTACAAGAAAAGATGAAAGCAGACATTCATAGTATCCATTCTTTATACTCTTGTCAGTAACCCCCTTTCCTCATCTTAATCTCATAGATGAGTTTTTCCTGGTCTTGTTTTTTGTTTTGAAATAGTCTTGCTATGTAGTTTATACTGGCCTTGGACTCACTTTGTAACCCAGACTGGCCTTGAATTTACAGTGATCCTCCTGCTCAGCCTCCTGAGAGCTGGGCCTGCAGGCATATGCCCACCATGCCTGGCTCACTGGTTTTGAATATATGTATAGAATACATTTAAACCCAGACTACTACCACCATAATCCAACTCAATGAAATCCTGGTTTGAGTAGGCACTTCCTTAGAGTCTCTAGACCCAGTGTGTCACCTCTGAAGTCTCACCTGACAGCATCACTTCTTTATGATGTCTGATGCACACACAAATGCTATCAGGAACATTTTTGTAGTGGACACGGCATAGTCAGGCAGAACATCTTTTAAACTTTTTATTACGCCCCATTACATTCAAAGCATCATGTTTATTTGGATGCCAAAATGCTTACCAGGAAGCAGGTCCTCCACTATCTTCCCCATGCAAATGTGAGAAGGATATTCATCACTGTTCCTCCTGCAGTAGCTGCACTGCTGACACAGAAAAGGAATTAATACACATTGCTGAAGGGCTTCATGGATATTTAGTCTACAGTAATTAAACTACTAATAGCAATCACATGACTTTCATTTCCAGTACATTTCATACTTAAAGAACAAAACAGAGGAATACAGAAAAGGACAAGACTTCCTCACGTACAGCTTCAAGGACCTGTCCTGGGAACTGATAGCCCAACACAGTAAGTAATGTATCCTGGATCCTCTTGATACATACATTTTTGATTCATTTACACTATATTTGTGTACACTAAAGTGTGCTTATTTTAAGTTCAAGAAATTTTGACCAATGTGCACACCACTATGACCACCACCACGGTAGCGAGACATCCATTTTTATCGTTGCAAAATTTCTCATGTGTCCTTGACAGTTATTGTCCACCCAACTTCCATTTTCTAGAAAGTACAGATCTGCTTTCTAACATTAGTAATTAATTAGTTTGCTTCTTATTGTAACTACACAGTAGTATTCCCTCGTGTGAATATATATTTTGTTTTTCCATTCAGCAACCGAAAGACATTTGCATTACTTCAGTTGTTCCAGCTCCCCTTTTTGAAAAGGTTATACTTTCATCACTAATAATTTAGTGACTTTATAAAGTCAGTTTTATGAGTCTATGCCTTTATTCTAAAAATCTAACTTTATACTAAGTACCACACTGTTCAGATTACTATAGCTTCATATACAATCTAGACAGCAGATCATGTACGTTCTTACCTTTATGCTCTTCTTTTAAAATTATCATGGCTACTTTAAGTTCCTCCATGTAAATTTTAGAATCAACTTACTGATCTACACAGACACACACACACACACCCTTCCCAGATTTTAAACGGGTTTCTGTTCAATGTGTAAATCAATTTTAGGGGAACTGACATCTTAACAAAATTGTCTTCCAATCCAAAAGCACAGTGTGCATCTCAATGTGATGGATCTTAATTTTTCTCTGCAGGATTTCACAGTTTATGCTCCCCTCCGCAGCACATATATTAAGATTTCAACAGCTTTTGGGTCAGTGTCAGCTGCCCATGGGAGTAAGAATCCATCAGATTCAGAAGTTGTTATTCTTGTGGTTGTTGTGATTACAGTGAAAGATACAGACTAAAACCTGCAAAGGGAAAAAGTCTGTAGGCAAAGTGTGGAGGGAAACAGGTGTTTGCTACCATGTCCTCTCCAAGTTTCCCAGAGGCACTTCATCTCCCTAGTGACAATATGTGACCACACATGCAACAGATCGTCCACTGGGGAAGTTTTCTGGGCTTGGGTGTCCAGGGTATCCACATAGTAAGTCCTGCAAGTATACAGTGTCCATGTGGTGGCTCCATGGTCCAGACTTTTGAGAGGTCCCTGGGGTTCCTAGACATGTGGACCAACTGAGTGAGCTTCAGCTGTTAAACCAATGTCCCACTAATGTAAGTCAATTTGTTCAGGAGCCTTCGCTGTTTGTATCCACTGCTGAATTTGGTTTGCTAATCTTTATGTACTTTTGCATCTGTGAAGACCACCATGCTCGTCCTGTGCTGTGTTGTGGAATGGTGAGTGGTGCTGGCTGAAAGTCCAGGTGGCCTGCCATTCTACAAGTGGAAATTTTTAGATAAAAATAATTTTTTAAAAGAAAATGTAAATACTTTGTTTTATAAGTGTTCAACTTGTTTTGGTAACCACTGTATTTTAAAATCCATTTCAGCACAATATATATACTTGTGGGCAGACTTTAAGGCCATAGTTAAGGTGAGTTTCTATGTATGTTTGTGTTGCCTCTATAAATATCACATTGACAAAAATCGTGTGTGTGTGTGCACACGTGTGTGCACACGCACACAAGCGCATGCACAGAGTTCTGAACTGCAGGGGAATAAAGGGTTAGTGTGGCCATCACAAGCTAAGATGTGGGCAATTATCTCAAATGTCACTATAAAATCTTAATCCTTTAGGAAACTGTCTTCCTATTCTACTAGTCAGTTAAACTGGGGAAGACTTTTTCTTTCTTTTTTCTCTTTAATCCTTCCTTTTCTTTTCCTTCCTTCCTTCCTTTCTTCCTTCCTTCCTTCCTTCCTTCTTTTCCTAGCTCACATTGGAAACATTTTGTTTTAGGGCAGGGTTCGCTATAGAACATCTCTGCCTCTCCACACTTTAGTCAGGTAGGCTGGGATTTGAACCCAAGATCACCTAAATACTAAAAGATTACATAAGTATGCAAAGGTTACATAAAATTCATGTTTAACCTTTAGAACATTGGGTAAGGAAAGTGTTACTACATGCTTTTTTGAGAAGAAGCTACAGAGGCTCAGAGTTTAACCAACTTGCTCAAAATCAAATAATGAATTTGGGGATTTAAACTGAGATCCTATCTGATTACAAAGTTCCTTCTCTGAAGCATTACTTCCTCTGCAGTTCTATACTGCTCTCAAGGTGAACTGGCTCTTTATGGCACTGCTACCTCTACTGTGCCTAGTTACAAATCCAAGCTCAGTGGTCATTCAATTAAATCAATTCATTTGGCAATCCATTTTTCTAGGGTCTTATGGAATTTTTTCAAATGACTATACATAAACTTTTTGCACAGCTAAACCCAATTTTGCACATATAGTTTTGTTTTAGCACAACCCAGTTAAAAAGGATGCTTTTGTTACAATTTATACTCACATACCATATACATGCCATTTCTTTTAAGAATTTGGTGCAGAATGGTAAAAACACCTTGCATGAAATAAAAAATCTAATAGACAAACTGCGCACAAGGGATGAAAAAATTGAGTGCATCAGTATTTGGTTATGCGGGAATCTTGAGGACCTGCACAGTCTTTCACAACAGGAATCACCAACAGATCTCCGTAAGTAACATGATAGCGTTTGGTAACATTACACCTTCCTGCTATTCTGCTGCAGCTGGTGATATCCAAAGAAGGAAAAAAAATCCCAAGTAACTCATCCCCAATAATGTCACAAACATTCAACTAAATATTGATACTCACTAGTGGGGTCAATATGGTAGTACAGAAAGTATCTGCCAATTCTCCTTCCCACCTAATTAATTTTTCTAGGTAAGTAAATCTTAGCTTTGTATGATTATTAAAAATCTCTTTAAGAACATTTTTTTAGGGCCAGGCATGGTGGCACACAGCTGTAATCCCAATACTTGGAGGCTGAAGCATGAGGATCACTACAAGTTTCTGATGAGCCTGTGTTACACAGTAAGACCCTGTCTCAAAAAAAAATTTTTTTTCAGGGAAGTTTTTTTCTAACCCTCCTCATATCCCTGTCTTCTTAAATAGAGCAAATTTGTTACCGATAATGTTACTCCTTCCTAAACTGAAGTTAGCATTAAAAACAGCAACTGGAGCTTTTGAGATGTGGACACATCTAACGTGCTGCCATGAGCAAGTGCACCGACTTCTCCAGAAGCATGTCAGTTTAACTGCTGCAGTAAAATGTAATATTGCACCCGACCCTAGTTTCTCTGACCCTTTATAGAAAAGGTGTGCCAACCTCTGAATTAGTGTCTAACAGATTTGTGCTGTGGTCACATGGAGAGGCAAGCTCTACTGTGATCTGGTAAACCCTAAGGACTGGACATGCTGAACCCCAGTGGAGAAGACAGGCTGACTTCATTCGAGGTCACATAAGGATGAACACACACTGTGCACACAATGATCAATCCAGGAAAACAAAATGCTCACTGAAAATGAAAATACTATCTTATGAAAAAATACACAATATATGCTTCCTGAAAATATTTTCAGTCAATTGATAATTGATTGGCAGAGCTCCACGTTGGTAACTGGGCACACAAGTACTTGAAGCACATTGTGTTTTAGGTTCTACCTTGCATTAAGACCTGACTGTACTCAACCAGCATTGACTGAGTGCCTAGTCTGTGGTGAGAACCATGTCAGACACCTAAGTTGCTATGACGAGAGATAGTTCTGCCCAAATGGAACCCACAGTCCATATACGGGTTGCCAAACCTGTCCTGTAAAGTGCTAGATAATAAGTATTTTTGGCTTTGCCAGCCATATGGTCTCTCTAGCAACTACTAAACTCTGCCACGGTAGCAGAACTATCCATAGGCTGTAACTTGTTCCTACTACAGTGGGAGAATTAGCATTATACAACTGTACATAAAATTCTAAGTGTATTGGATATGGGACCTGAGAAGCATGAAAAAACAACCTGGTTAAGGAATCAGGGGAGTGATCTCTGAAGAACTGAAAATGGAAATGGAGCCAAGAGCAGCGTGAAATTCCTGGTTTCCTGTAGCTCCACGCTGCTGCTGCTGGGCACTGCTGTATGTAGGCTACGGAGCAAGGTGGACTTAATCCCAGTGTCATCTCCATGTCCTACCCTCCCGTTGTAAAATGCCAGTGAGTGAGACAGTTACAAAACATCAGACCCAAATTCTGTATTCACTGGAGCCCTGAAATCCACTACTGTCCTGGGAAGTAGGAGTAAAGTTTTGGGTCTGGAACCACTCAACCATCTGAGCCACCTGCAGTCTAGTTTTTGAAATTTCCCCGATTCACTTCCCGCACAGAAGGGTTTCTCCTGGAGAAGCTTTTTTTTTTTTTTTTTTTTCCTAACTCCACACACCTCTCCTGTCTTGTTTGGACAAATAAAGTCACTCTATCCTTGTAAATACAGCTCTCCTTGGATCACACAACCAGTCCATTAACACACTGAGGACTCCTCAGCCTGGTTGAGCTTACAGTACAGAGACCTACCCTGCACCTTACCAAACACAACCTGTGAGCCACACAACTGAAGAGGTTACACGATAGTGGGTGTGGGAGCGCAAAGCAGGAAGTCCACTCAGTGTGGGAATACAGAGGTCTCCTGCAGAAGAGGGGCACGGACATGAGCGTCTAGTGCCTGCAAACTTAACAAAGCTGAGCTAGGGTGAGGTTGTTTTATACATTTTTAATGACCACGTTTTACCAAAGTATTTAGTAACATTAGTGACCCCAGTGGCTAAGAATTATGCTTGTTTTTATAAAAAGTCCAATAAAATCGCAAATATTAAGTATACTTGAAATTACTTCACTTGAGGACCTCCATTTGAATACATATTTTTCTGCTAGAATATGAGAAAATGCTTTCAAATATATGGAACTAGAATATATAGTCCTGATAATCAGATTCATGGCATCTCCCATACTTGACAAACTATACAGATTTTGTAGGCAACTCAGAATTTTAATGGATGCCAGGAGCCACCAAACATATGCCAGATACAAACAGAATTTAAATTGTTTTTTTTTATTCCTACAGGAAAGAAAAAAATCAAGCATACCAAAAAGAGTCCATTTCTTACAAATAAAAATGAACTTGTAAAGAACAAAATAACTCAAAGATACAATTGCTATGAATTCAAAAAGCATAAACAAAATTCATAAAAACGTGAGTACACTTATTTTTGTATTTTGAAATCTTTAACAAGTAAGCTTTAAATCTGCCCAGCCTTATCAAATCACAAAAAAAGGAGCAGTCTTCTAAACAATGGGTAAACAGGGTCAGGCTAGGGTAAGTAAGTGAGCAATAGTTTATTTTACATACATGGCTGTGAGTAGGAGTCCCTTGAAGTGTTTGGAGTATAAACATCCGAGCATATATATCAAAACTGTTCGCAGGAAAACTGTTCGTATACTCTGTTTCATTGACTCTATGAAGCCATAAGCCATATGATGCATCCTAGTTCAGAAATGTCAATGTAAAAGTGTCATAGGATTAATGACATACAGCATGCATTTTTCCCCAAAAATAGGTGTAAGGGAATAAAAACATGTGTGAATATGTATTTCTTATTTGAGAAAAAATACTAATTTTAATACTTAACATTTTTTAATTACTTCCACAATTTAATATGGTAAAAACCAATTAAATGTCAGAATGTTTATGGTTTTTGTAGTTATGTTCTGTTGTTTTCTTTACAGGAACAATAATCGGAACATGTCTTCCACCAAATTACAAACAGAAAATCTATAAAGTATGCTTTATTTTTGCAATGTTATAAAAATACTATATTGGTGAAAATAAATAGCAAAAACATACTTATTCCAATGTGTGTTAACAGACTCCACAGGTATATCTATACATGAAGGTGAAAAACAAATTGCATCACATCAAACTCAGAGACGCCACCATAGAGACCTCAGACTATGTGGATAAGTCTTCCTTAACACAACAAAAGCACTCATCACTAGGCATACAAAAACATGACAGGCTTCGAAGAGCTGAAAAATCCTCAAAGGGCTCAGAGTGTAACTAACAGAATATTGTGATACTGTTTATTTCAAAAGCCTAACCATTGGTCTGCTGATCACAAATCAAAATACAAACATTAAGCTATACTGATAATTTGTTGCTGTGTATGACAGATGAGTCCTAACATTTTTTAAAAATTTCTTTACTTTTTTATTACAAACATTTCTTAGAATTTTTGCCATTTCATATTCAATGTCCATTGGCTCCTTCTGAGAGTATCCGTGAAGGTTCAGTGAATTTTGCAGTAAATAAGTAAAAAAGGGCTGGCGTAGGCACCAAAGCCAAGAGGGGCAGATCTTGCTCAAGTTTATCCACCCTGGAAATAGAGATAATTCCGTAGGCATGAAGTAACCAGTGGCTGAGCAGAACAATAAGTCTTTTCTTCCGGACCAGGAGATCATAGCAGTTCTGTGTAGTTTTATAAAAGAAAGAAAAGAGAAATACAGATTAGCTGGCTGAATCTGCTAGATAATTTATTTCCACAGTCATCTTATAGCTGATGGCTTTTTAGAGTTAATGAAACAGAGTATAAAATATTTGAGTTAAAAAAGGACTTAAGGATTACTCAGTCTAACCACCACACTTTACAGATGAGGGAAGTAAGGCTTCCTAACTGTCATAAAAGCACTTGACAGCAGCACCATGACAAGACGCCTGTCCCTCAAGTCCTGGTTCATAGCACCATGTGAACTAGAAGAGGAATTCCACACTGCGGGCTTCCTCCCGCCCTGAACCCGTGTAGCTGTGAACATCAGGCAGGACTGAGGAGGTTCACACCCAACCTCTTAACCCCTACCATTCCAAGCCTGCCGCCTGAAACATTAGAAGAAAGCTGCAAGAGCCATGTGGATACTCTGGTTTTCTTTTCATTTTTCATATACACTCTATAATATGCAGAAATTAAAAGGACCAGTTAATATCAAAGTAACATCTAAACGTGCCAATAAACATGGATGGAATATGCAATAGGTAAGTCAGCAAGTTTCTTATGTCATGACATGGTCCATGAGCTCGCCTACAACTAGACTTTTTTCCCTGATTCAGATGCTGATTTCTGATTCATGTGCAGAGGGCGAACTGAAGGACGGTGAACGTTTTACAGAAGACAGTTCACAGGTGCAAAGAACCAAGTCTCAAGCTAATTTAGAAACATACAAATCTTAATTATGGATAACAAAAATTCAAAACCCTCATTTTACTCAAATATCCAAATCTTTCCTTGTAGTTGATAAAAGTGTCAAAACTAGCTTCTGATTTTCTTTAATAAAACATATTGCAATGCTATTTAAGGGTTACTAAAAAGAAATGAGGATGATCTATAAGTGGAAACAATTAAATAGCATAAAAATATTCTGGTTTTTCCACTTTATTCTATCTAAAAGTCACTAGGATTTCTAGGTGTTCCCCTCCCCCCACTCACTTTCTCACTAATATATTGGTGAGATATCAACAGTAACCATTCCAAAATAGTTAAGTTACTGACTGTGTTGACCTTTATAAAAAGTTAACAATTATGAGAAAGCACTATCTAACTGTAGTGAGCAATTTCAAGACAGAGATCAAAGGCATTAGATTAACAAAGTATGGAAGAGCCTAAGGTCTATGATTTTTATTCATCAAGGTTTAGCCTCAAATTTGAATTGTCAAATATATTAATGTATTTAACAGCTATCAATTAAATGACATTAAAACAATTAGAAATAGGTATACTATTATTTTAAAAAACAACTTCAGAAAACTGCATGTGAACAAATATTTGCTAAAATATCCATTTTGATTAAAAGCTTAATGAATACATTTTCCCTGTAGAGTCCAATATTCTACTTTCCCATTTATTGTTAGTACTTTCTATTTATAATAGTTTAGTTCCTTAAATGGAATATTTAAAAATATAGACACGATGACATGTTTATTTTACCTCACTCACCTACAAATAAATCATAAAACATTTTTGACAAAAGATACTATGACAATAAACACATATATAAAATGTGAAACAACAAAAAACAGAGTTCCTAAACAGATGTCAGCCCCCACTGGCCTCCTAAAAAGTTAGGAGGCACAGGAAGGGTATCTCAAAAGAGAAACAGAATCAGAATGAATGTGGCTATTATTATTAGTGTGTTTTCCTAGTTACTCAAATATTAGCAACATTTGAGGGCAAAAGTAAATATAATCAAGATAAAACAGATGGATATGGAATGAATGCATAATTATTAATGGTTTGGCATGGCTACTATAAAGTTTACAATTAGTTATATATATAGTAAAGCATTTTAAAACTTCTCTCAAAATAGTGTTAATCAGTTTCAATATTTCAACAACTCTATGTTTGCTATGTGGGTAAATTATATGAAATAATCTTTCTTTACCATGCTGGAAAGGAGAGCTTATCTACTTTTTCACTAACATCTCAAGGAAACATCCACTGCAATATACACAATTTTCTATACATTTATATAACAAGCTCAAAGCTACCAAATGACATTAGTCAGCCAAGGATTACTGAAATGATCAGTTATACCTTATCTTATCATTTGTACTACTTAACTGTCAAATTTATTTTTAAAAAAACTTTAACAAAGGAAAAGACTTCCTACCTCTATTTCAGAAGCTGACATGTATACAGCCAGAGTGACCAAGGATAACACTAATATAATATATGGGAAGGCATAATCTGAAAGACAAATACTGTTATTATGATGGAAATTAAACAAATTTTCTGAATAAGCCATCAAATAAATTCAAATAGTATAATTCTCCCTATGGCTCAATCCTTTTTCAACCAGTTCCATGAGACATTTTCTGGAAAGGGACAGAGTAGATATTTTTCACGTTGCAGGCTGTTTTATTCACCAGCTATACAGTTTTACTGTGAAAGCAGCAATCGAAAATATGTAAGTAGAGGGGAATGTCACTGTTCTAATAAAACTTTATAAACAGAAAATTTGAATTTCATATAATTTTAACATATTAGTGAATAAAAGTCTTTTTTTCTTTTTTCCAACTACTTAAAAAACGTAAAATTCATGCTTGGTCCAGCTCTAAAGACTCTTGCCTAAGGCATCATTTGGACAAAAAGAATTAACTTCTGTGCATCCAGAATGATATAATATCACTGAATGAAACTTGGAAGAATTAAGAAAATAATTACTCAAAGAATTTTTTTTTTTTTTTGTACCGGGAATCAAACTCAAAACCACACACTTGCAGCAGGTGCTTACGCCACTGAGCTAAATCCCCAGCCCATAATTTTGTATTTTATAGTCCAGGATGGGAACCCTGGTTGACATTATCCCTACTATCAAAATTCTAGAAATTTCTACTCCAAATACAGTAGGTATATTAAGGAAACAATTTTCCTACAAAGTAATACCATTGTCTTCAAATATTTTAAATTTATGGCACATGGAAACAGATAAATTCAGAAAATATTTTGAATTATACTTATATAACTGTTTTAAAACAATGCTAGTTTATGAAACTATTAATCATTCAACACTGCAAATCTTATGTAGAACTTCAAATGTTACATCAGGATATAGCACCCAGCAATCCTGAATTATCAATAAAAGCTAATTTCAATTTACTAATGAATAACTTCTTTGACATTTAGAAGTTTTTATTTCATATTCAGTAATTGGATCCCCAGCCATTTAAAAAGTTACTCATTTAAAAAAAATTATATGTATACACACACACACACACACACACACACACACACACACACATATATACATATAACCATATGGTTCTGGAGCCAGGGATTTAGCTCAGCAGCATAAGTGCTTGCCTAGCAAGCACAAAGTTCCTGTGTTCATTCCCCAGGACTTGGGGGAGAGGAGGAGAAGAAATCTAAGAAATTACTATTTAACAGTAAATAGTATATCAAGACTAATTTCCATCTATCACCAGCAAAAAAGTTTTTACTTTTTGTTTTCTAAGGTTTTAAAAATCTTCCAATTTGGTTATGAGCTTAAAATACAAGGTACTCTCTCAGCAAATCAGTTTCGATTAGCCCCACAATTTTTTAAGAATTTCTATTCCGGGGCTGGGGATTTAGCTCAGAGGCATAAGCACTTGCCTTGCAAGCAGGCAGTCATGAATTCGATCCCCAGTACCGATAAAAAATTAAAAAAAAAAAGAATTTCTATTTCATTCTATTTCTGTAAGACCAGTATGCTTTAGCAAAATATATACCATGGCTTATTTTCAAGGATTAAAGAAACATTTTAAAGAAAAATTTGCCAAATGAAGTTCAGACAAAATACTGCATGTAATAACAAAAAATTAATTGATTTCATTTATCAAACTCACATAAAAGGCCTCCACCAACTGCCTGAAGCACAGTTAATATTGGGAAGAAATAAAGCGCAGCATAAATACTTTTAAATCGGTCAGACTTCCCTAATCCACACGCGATCTTCTTCACAAGAAGGGGACGGAGCAGCATCATCAACACCAAGCAGAATGCATAATAAATAAACACAATGGTGTACCTATAAACAAGAATGTGCAACACTTTAAACCATACATGTAAAAGCTTTTTATCATTGATATTTTTAAATCAAAAACCTCAGAAAACGCTTCTGAAGTGTCTTGGGTCTGTTCAATAATGTTCACTTTACAGGAAGGTTGGCCAAGCAGACCCTCACTGCTAGCAAATGCACACTAGTTGCCTTTTCTGGCAATCCCGTAATTACACAGCACAAAACCTGAAAGTTTCTATGCCCTTTGACCTATCAGTTTCTGTTTGTAGAAATTTACCACAGGGAAATAATAAGGGATACAAAAAAACTTTATGTATAAAGATTTTTTATTGAATACTTAAGGAAAACTTAGGAAAAGAATAAATACTCCACAACAGGAAACGAGCTAATTTCAGGGTACATACATTCATGACAGACCAATTGGCTGCCACTGAAAGCAGGCACGCGGCGCAGTGCACACGTGCATAAACATCACAGGGTCCTTACTAACAGGAAACTTTATGTGTCAACTAAAGAACACTTAAAATTCAATGGCAACAAAATAGATACAAATATTTTAATATTATGTAGATACCTGAATTTTACATATTTCCATAGGAAAAAAATTAATGATGAGGAAAATTAAAGCAAATCAAGGAAGCTCTTAAATACATGCTTCTATCACCCCACTGTCTACTCATTAAGGGTTATTTTCTTTACTAGATTGCCCTAAAGTAACTTCAAATTAAATTTAATAGAAAAACAACAGCACAAGGGCTGGGGATTTAGCTCAGCAGCATAAGCGCCTGCCTTGCAAGCAGGCAGTCATGAGTTCAATCCATGGTACTGATTTAAAAAAAAAAAAAAAAAAAAAAAAAAACAGCACAAGAGAAAGCAGGAGGACAGAGCTTCAAATGTCACTGAGAGGGCTGTATAGTATATAGTTAGCTTGATTAGCATACAGCAAGTGTGGGGTCTCTTAAGTAATTGAATTCCCTTGACTTTCTTAACAGACACAGCTGTTTTGTTTGGATTCTTCATTCCATGATTTATAATGCTATTCATTTGTGTGTACTTAGAATTAACAGAACTATACAATTTTAACTGACTTATGCATCATCACCACTATAGTTTTAAAAGCCAACAGCACAGCCAGGGATATAACTTAGCAGCATAAGCACCTGCCTGGCAAGCTCAAGGTCCTGAGTTTGACTCCTTGTAGCAAAAAAAAAAAAAGTCAACAGCGCTTAAAATTACAAGTGGCTAGGACAAGTTAAATTCTGTAAGGCCTCAAGACAGAATATGACAAGAGGTTACTCAAACCTGCAGATTCTATTTCTCTGAATTAATAAATCACCAGGTAACACCGTAGGTCTTTTATTAGTCTTTCACTTATAAAGTATAGTTTTGTTTATATTCATAAAATAAATAATTTGAAGAATTTAAAGGTTGCATGCATGGAAGCATTTTAATATTTCTATAACTGGATCTTTTTTTGAGAATCACCTTTTTACATAAATGTATGATATGTTTTGGATACTAAGAATTTGATGAAAGAGGACTAATTTCATTAAGCAAAGTGTAGAAACTTGCTACAACTATGGGCACAAACTAATACACTTTTTTATTCTACCTTGCCCAAGAAAAAGATATCAAAATAAGTATCAACAATTTACAGAAATTCTAAAAACAGGTAGTGTGGCATAATACATAGAATCTTAAGAATTTGGTATTTTTAAAAGATTCTAATGAAATTTATTTTTTTTGAAAAAACACAAAAATGATAAACTCAAGCACTACAATGATACCAGATACTCTAAGTGTTCCTGTATGTAAGGAACTATGATGGTGTCTACTATGTGTATTCATTTAATCCTCACAGCACTTTATAAGGTAACATTATACTCATTTTCTGGTGGGAAAACTGAGGTTGCAAGAGGCTGTTAATATTAATGTAACAGCTGGCACACTCACAATTTACACTCAAGCTGCTCTATTCTCCAAAGCTCACATTCTTTCACATGAGGTCCAAACTCTGTGTCAGTATTACATCTCTGTTGCATATCAAGGTCTTTCTTTATAAAAGCCTCTAAGAGGGAAGGGGGAAAGGAAAGAAGGGAAAAGGAAAAAAACAAGAAAAGGAAAATATGGAAACAGAACTTTTGTGAGTAGAGAAGAAGGGCCAAAGGGAGAGTAAGGGAATGGGGAAAAATAAACCAAGTTATAACAGACTCTAAGAGAGTCCAATGAAAGATACAAAGCTTATTTAGAAAAGTTAATATGCTTCAATATCAACACAAACCTTTCCTGTTCTACTAAGATATTCTCGAATTCCTTCCTACTATGTGTGCCTTAAGAAAACACTTTCTGGTGTCTCCACCATTGCCTAGAAGCTACTTACAATGCTCAATCGGTGGAAATGCATGAGATACACGATATATAAGAACCCTCAACTTTTAAAGATGCTCCTGGCTAAAGAGATACTTACAGCGGGTAGACAGCTTCATGGGTACAGTGCACTGTGGTGATGTAATCTGGACTTGGGTTGTAAAGCATGGTATACCAGTCTGAGAGCATCAACACTCGACAGGATCGGATGTAGAGAACGCCAACAGGGTCACTCACAAGCAAGGTGATGACAGCTGCTACACTGCACTCAAACAATGCAGTGATGTGCTGGAAGAGTGCACTGGAACTGGGAAACAGAAGCAGAGGCAAGATTACCAAGAAGAATCAGTATTTGAATGGCTCCACTTAAATGTGTCCATGTTTTGAAGTATGAACTCTAAATAGAATCTTTAATTGAAAAATCCTGAAACACTACCAGGCATGATGGTGCATGCCTGTAATCACAGCACTTTGGGGGCTGAAGCAGGAGGATCACTGTGAGTTCCAGGCCAACCTACATTTTGAGACCCTGTCTCAAAAAAAAATCTTTAAACATCAGAAAAGTGAAAAATATATGAAAATAACAAGAATATTGGGGGCTTATTCTCTAAAAATGGATAAATCATTCTACAGATCATTGTGCTGTTATTAATGGTGTCAAAAAGAGCAGAAATCAGAAATCTACCTTAGTACATTATCAAATTGTTCAAATTTTCTTAGTTATCATTTTAAATTATCTCATAAAAGTACCTAAAAAGGACTCAAGAAAAGATGGCGGATAGGTAACAGCAGCTACAGAGGCTCTCTGAGATAGCCAGCTTAGATTCCAGGAATGGTGTGGTGTAGGGAGTCCTAAGCAGAAGGAGATATACCCTGCTGACCCAGGAACAAACTAAGCTGAGACAGACCAATTGGAAATGCAATCCTGGTGCTACAATTGGAACAGCTAAAAAGCTCGTGGCTTGAGTACCCTGCTACTGCTGCGCCTAAATTGGCACAAACAGGATACCCTGCTAGTTTCAACTCACCGGAGAAGTGAATGCTCTTAGAGCGGGAATCGGCAAACCGAACTGAGAGCAGAGCAGGCGGGGAGCCCTGCATTAACCTGTGGTGAGTGAGAGGAACAGGGACCCTTCCATAGATAAAGAGGCTCTAACAGAGGATATTCTGGGACCGTGCAGACTGGCCAGAACAGGGTGCTGCAGTGACTTCAGTCACATATTCCCGTCTCAAGCAGGATTGGTGGAGAGTGCTTGACCTGGGTGATGCCATGGTCTGAGGTCCAATAGGCTAGCCCAAACCAGGTCCCTGTGCCTGGCAGTGCACCCTCACAGTGAAGCCTTCAGTAGGTTGACCTGGAGGAGCAGGCCCAGCATAGGCTGCCCGGGTCTGTACCTCCTAGTACGCTGCAGTGGGCAGGACCATCTAGTTGGCACGCTTCAGACAAACTGAAACCGACAAAGAAAGAAACTGGGCCTCCTATATACGCTTGTATGGAAGGAACAAAAAATAAGAGGAGGCAACAAGAAAGGGTCCTCAGTCCCCAATCCTAAGAACACTGGTCCAGGAAAGGTAAATGCAAAGGAGAATGAGGACAGAAAACATGCAATATCAGGTATGGCACCAATAGACATAAAGTGCTATCTTTGGGACCTCATAGACGAGTTCAAAAGTGAAGTATTTAACCAGGTAAAGCAAGATATAAGTACAACAGTTAAAGAAATGCTAGGTACCTCCCAAGAAAAAACAGATGGTAGAATGGAAGAACAAAAAAAGGGAGAGAATGGTTTGATGGAGAAAATAGAGAAAACATAGAATACATGAAGCAGGTTCAAAGTGATTACCAGGAAACTAAAAACACTATTGAAAGCTGGCATAACAGCTTGAAAAAAACTAAGGATAGATTATCTGAACTGGAGGACAGATTTGTAATGTGGGAACACAAAAGGAAAAACTTCTTAAAAATAATAAGGAAACAAGCAGTAACAATACAAAGGCTAGAAGATGATAAGAGGATCTATAACTTAAGAATAAAGAATGTAAATGAAGAAGCAGGGGTACAAATAAAGGAACTACAAAGGCTATTCACAGAAATAATCAAGGAAAACTTTCCAAACATAGGAAAGGGTAAAGATGCTCAGATGTATGAGGCATACAGGACCCCAGCCACCTACAATCCAAACAGAACTACATCCAGGCATATAATAATCAAAATTCCAGAAATCCAATATAAGAACAGAATACTAAAAGCTGTCAGAGACAAGAAACAGATCACTTACAAGGGAACACCCATCAGAATTACAGCAGACTTCTCGGCATAAACCATCAAATCTTGAAGAACGCGGGGCAAAATAATTCAAGCTTTGAAAGACAATAACCTCCAGCCAAGATTGATATATCCTGCACAACTGCCCCTAGAAATTAATGGAGAAACAAGGTGCTCCCAAGATAAAGAGGAACTGGGGGAATTCGCAACCACCAATCCAACTCTACAGAGAATACTGCAGGACATTCTAAAAGAGAAAAGTACCAGGATTCCAGAAAGAATGGCAGAGAGGCCACAATGAATGGAGCAGAAAGCAAAATGAAGAAGACAAACAGACAACTAATGAGAGAAAAAGATCTCAACAGAAATGAGGCAAAGAAGGTTGGATATAATTTTTTTTTTTTTTTGTCTTTTTCCTTTTTATCTGTACTGGGGATCGAACTCACGACTGCCTGCTTGCAAGGCAGGCACTTATGCTGCTAAGCTAAATCCCTAGCCCCAAGTTGAATATAATTTCTAATATAGATGGCCCTAGATACACTAACTTAAGGGAAAAAAGAATTGCGGGCAGAGTGGATCAAGAGGTAGGGTCCACCAAGAGGCGCTTTATAGGAAATATAATTAGCCTGAAGAAGGTTATATGGACCAAAATCAAACATGAGAAAATGGAACTCGATGTGATAGGGAACTAGAAAGTTAATAGGGGTAACTAGACCAGTATTTATAGATAGGTTGAACAAACAGGCTTTAATAAATGAAGAAATATAACTAGAAATCCAGCCTAGGAGTGAGAAAGTTCAGAAACACTTAGGTAAATAGCAGACTGTCCTCCCAATACAAAACCATGAATGTTGGGGAGACCCAAAAATACATAGTTCATTCTGGAAGTAAAGGGGAGGAATAGTCTTCAACAACAACAACAACAAAAAAAAAAACAGCAGAAGTTATAGCCAATAGTGTATCAGGAATTAAAACCCCTATTACTCGCACCACTCTGCTTGGTTGGAACTTGTTCCAACCTAGTTTGTATACAAGCACTGGATTCTGAGGGCACAGACAGCTGTCCTGAAGATATCAGGACATAGCACAGTAGTCATCTTTAATTTCCTATTAACTCAATCAGGATCCCTGTAAGACTTATACTGTTGTATCATGACTGATCTTAGTTAAATCTGACTTGTTTGATTGTTGCTTATTATTGAAAGATTTCATTCAAAACTGTCAGGTTGCTGGTATCAAGTTAAGGAGTATAGACAACTATACTGAAAATGACAATGATTCACCATGATATCCATTCTGATTTGATTACTATCTGTTTTTGTAGTTCTACGCTATCTACAAATTTGTATTTCTGTTAATCCTGTTATGTACTGATATGTTCAATTATGCTTTATCTGATGATATAGCCAATTCTGTTGATGATAACAAGAAACAGCACAGTGACCATGGTAGAACTCCTTATACAGCAGATTTATATTTCTTTTTAGTTCTATGTGTCTATTGGAAAAAGTTTAGTTCTGTCCTGCTTTGTTCTGTTTCTCCCTCTAATATACAAAGGATAGAAATACATGTTAACACTCATGCTTACGTAAAACCTATAAACAGTTTATGAGATAGATTGATCTTTGACACATGATGAAATGAAGAAATACTTTGAAGGAAAGAAAGGGGCACTGTAGTACCCAGTGCTGATTCCGGAGTGTTATGATGTGAAATCCAGCAATATTATTAATCTTTATTCAGAAGGATTTTAATCTAGTCTAAGTTTTGTTAAGTCTCAACATAAATGAAGATGTGGATAAATGTGTACATGTCTAAAAGTATAGGATTGATAGCCATATTACTTAGTTTTTGTTGGATAGTTGAACAGAAAGAACTGTTTGCAGTCTCCCTGGTTGAATTCCCATTTATATGTTCTACTTTTGTATCTTGAACAACTGTTTGTGGGGGGACCATATGTATACATCAACTAGTGATTTATTACTGTCTATTTCTTTTCTTTGAAAGTATGTACTATTTCTGCCCATTTTCTATTGTTTTGCCTTTCTTTACATAAAAAAGTACATAAAATATGCAAAAAAGATAGCACGCATATTATTTAAAATAATATAGTAAATATTATACACTCCATATAACCCAGTAGCTAGAACACTGTAAATAACTCGTACTTACCGAGTTCCTCCCCACCCACATCCTTAGAGGTAACACTGGGTACATTATGGTACCTTGGGGACTGGGCATCAAACTTAAGACTTCACACTTTCCAGGCAGGTACTTGCACCACTAACCCAGCCCAATTTTACTACATTTTTTAATCACTTTTTTGAAACAGTTTTTATCCCAATTGTAATCTTTGAAACCTGTTTAACGTTGCTCTATTTTTTACTACTACTCTAAGTCATTTCAGTTTTTTTCCACTCAAACACATGGCATTAGGGCCAAGGTTCCATCAAGCACTGCTGTGAGACTCCAGTGTGACAACACTGCAATTCTACTTTGTCATTTTAACATGCTGGAAATGTCTTCCTCTCGGTTTGTGGATTGTTTTCACCTTTTTGTAATGTCTTTTTATGAGCATGTTCTAAATTTTAATACAGTTGGTTTTTTAAAAATTTCCACCTTACAATTTAAAAGTTTGGTTTTAAAAGTTCATTTGCATGCCAAGAAAAGAAAGTCTCATCCTACATTTTCTCCTAAATGTTTTAAGTTTACTTAGAACACTTATGCAAATATGACAGTCAATACTGACCACAAACTTGCATGGATTGAGGAAAGCACAGATTAGTGAAGTACATTTCTGGGTGTGTCTGAGGGTACATGGGAGTGATCCTGGGGGCCACACCTGTCCCCTACCCCTTCTCCTCTAACTCTAGCACCATCTTTCCCTGTCCTTCCTTGGTGCCAAAAAGTGAGCATTTTTCTCCGTGTTGTTACTTTGGCCTGGTATTTCTAATTGCACTGAAACCTCTGAAATCAGGAGGCAAAACAAACTGCTCCTGCTTTAGGCTGCAGGCACTCAGGACTGTGTCTCAGCACCAGAGTGATAACTAATAGAGTTCAGTGTAGCATCAAACTGCAGACTGTCATCTGGATATACAGTGCAATTGCCACAGCAGCATTTTACTAAGCAGGCAATCTTTCCTCACAACCAATTTGCCACGCTGCTTCTGCAGTACAAAGTTTCATACATAACTGGTTTGTTTGCAGCTTCTCTATTTTGTTCCTAGGGTACAAGACAACAGAATAATAATACTGTTACCTCCTCAATGATCTTGTTATTCTTGGCCTTTGCTCCTCCATATAAATTTAAAATTAGTTTGTCACATACAATATAAATCCTAAGAATAGGAAGGTAGCAGTATTTTTATATTATAATATGGAAGACAGGTGCGGATTTAGCTCAGTGCTGTATGCACCTGCCTGGCAAGTACAAAGTCGTGAGTTTGATCCCTGGTACCAAAAAAAAAGAAAGAAAGAAAACAAAAAGAAAGATAACAGATTTATTATTTTACAATACAGGAAGACAACAGATTTTTTATGTTTGTCTTAGAGCCAGCCTCTTTAATAAGTCTCATTATTTTCAATGCTGAGTTTATAGATGCTTTTGATTCTTCCACTTGAGTAGTCTTCTGTGGTCCATTGCTACCTAGCAAACTACCCCAAAACTTAGGGATCCAAAACACCACCCACTGGTTATTTCCACTTTTTGTGATTTGAATGGGCGGGATGAGGTAACTGTGTGTCGTGTGATGCTGATTTAGGGTGTGCACCGAGGTTCACCCATACTGCAGTGGGCAATCAGCTGACTCATGGGGCTGCCGTCACCATGGGCTGTCAGCAGCCAGCCACCTGCAGCTGAAGTCTGGAGCTCTGGGTTCCTTGCCACCTCGCTGCCAGGCTTCTAGTATTCTCACTGTAACTATAATTGTATCAATATGAACTTTTTATTCTGTGTAGGATATGTTTCACTTCTCAGATCTGTGAACCCATTTTTCTTTTTTTTTTTTTTTTTTTTTTGTCTTTTTCATTTTTATCGGTACCGGGGATCGAACTCACGACCGCCTGCTAGCAAGGCAGGTACTTATGCCGCTGAGCTAAATCCCCAGCCCCCTTTTTTCATTATTTTTACAATATCTAATGCTAAGCAAGGCATAGTGCTTGCCTGTAGTCCCAGCAGTCTGGGAGACTGAGCCAGGAGGGTCAGAAGTCCAAACCCAGTTTGGGCAACTAAGCAAGGCCCTATCCCACAGTAAAAACTGAAGGGGAAAGAAATGTGGTTCTCCCTTATTGTTTCTGTATTGTTTTTTAAGGATTCTGATTAGATAGTATGTGCCAAGTTTTAACAAAACATTTCTCTTGCACATGAGAATGTGAAGCTTTAGAAAACCCTATAGCTCTTCCTCTGACAAAGGGTAAAAGTTAACTGTATCGCTCAGTGACACTGCTTATGATACATCAATCCCTGACTGCTAAGTTATATATAGTGAACTGGGGAGAATTGTAAGTTAACTATAAATATGTAATGAAGTCACTGAAGTTCATTATCCTCATTATCCTCATAACCATTCCAGGAATCTGAATATTTCTTGTAGGACCCTGGAACCTGTCCTTAAAGAGTTGTTATAAAAGACAGATCAGCCCCTGTCAGACTTCAAGCCTAGAAAATTCCTACAACCATTCAAAGTGGATTTCACTTCCTTTACCTTAGCCAAACTGCTTCAAAAGCATTTGCTAGCCAGATAGCAGTGTGCACCCATATTCCTAGCACTTGGGAGGCTGAGGCAGGAGAATTACAAGTTTCGGGCCAGCCTGAGCTACACAGTGAATTCAAGGTCAGCTTAGACTATATAGCAAGACACTGTCTCATAAAACAAAGCTACTACTGACAAAAAGAGTCGGTCGTACTGCACTGGTAAGACATGATGCAATTCTTTTTGGTAGTAGGGGATTGAAACCGGGGCCTTCACACTGAACGAGATCCCAGTCCTGTTTTTGTTCCATAATTTGCTAATCCTATCAGTGGAAGAGTGATTGCTTAGTATACACAAGATCCTGGGTTTGATCCCCAGCACCAAAATAAGTAAGGGGTAATTACTCCAACATCAGGCCATCCACATCCATTCACAGAATGTACTAACCTCTTTTTCCCCGAGTACCATTCAATGAAGAACCAATGTAAAACAAGAGGTAGCATCGCCATGAAGCCAAGGTACAGCCAGTCATAGAGCTCTGGAGACTCTGTGCAAGGCTGACAGTACTTCTGTGCATTTGTTCTTTGCCCTCGTGGGCAAACCTACAGTATAGAAAGATGCTTTTTTTGCACACACATCTTAGAATATTCACATTCTTAAATAAATTCTATAATGCATTTAAATTTATACATGTAGTTTTTAGAAATTAAAGCATAAGTAAAATATGAATCTACATTGTATGGGTTATGCCTCTAAAATGCTCATAAAGGATTCTTTTATTTCATTACTAAAATAGCTAATGTAAAAAAAACTAGTTGGTAACATCATATAATATAAAAATAACTACAGAGAAATGTTTTGGCATTATAACTCTACAAGTCACTGCACTAAGTCATTAAAAAGTAATTAGAAATAGCTAAAATTATAAAATGTTCTTAACTTTGTCAAGAAAGATGTGATATATTTTTCAATACTCTAATAAAGATTTTATTAATGCTTCTCTAATAAAGTTTAAGAAAAAGATTCTACATGTGAAAATACCTCAAAAGCAAATAGATCTTACAAATGATCTATACAAACATCAGACTTACCCCACACTCTCCATATATTTCAGTTGAGTCATTTTTAAATAACAGGGTCTTCCCACAATAAAGTCCAAGGCATGCTGGTTGAATATCGACAGCTTTTTAAAAACAAACGCCAGTACAGTAACATCTTTTGTGATTATAAAAAAATAATACAATAACAGCTGAAGCACTTGCCAGACATATCTCAATAGTTTCAGTCTTTAAAATGACAGGTATTAGACAAAACTCTTAAGGCATTTTTGGGGGAGAGCTGGTACTGGGAATTGAACTCAGGACCTTGTGCTTGCCAGGCAGGCACTTATGCCACTGAGCTATATCCCCAGCCCATCTTCATGCATTTTTAGCTTTCTTTAAATTGCTACACTGAAACCTTGTTAATACTGTGTCTTGTGATTAATGCCCCCAATCAACAAGGCTCATTTGATTACCAGAACTCAGAGCCTAACCCAGCATGTCACCAAGAGACCGCGAATACATTCCTTTTAATTGGAACAGACTTTTGAATTTCTTTGACTATAAAATGCAAAAACGATTTTTTTAAAAAAACTAAGGCAATGACTATCAGCATTTTTTGTTTTGCCCTTTAGGCACATTAGGCACGCATACTTATTACCACCTTCGGTCATAACAGAACACATGTTAATCACGCTAATGCAGAAAGGACATAATTTTAGAATAAAGGCCAGGTCTTTAGAGTAAATAAAGTCACTTCTCTAAAAGGCTTCCTATATCATCCTCAATTTTATCATTTGAGGACAGGTGAAAATTTCATTAAGAGTGTTATTGGGCCACTGAGCAATATTAGAGAACCAATGCCTTTTAGAATCAATCCCCTGATCTCAAAATTCAGGGAAAATTAAAAGCAAACAAAGGACAGCAATAACAAAAACCCAGCTCTCCTTGAAGAAATAAAGGCTCAACCTTGTCAATGCGGAGAAATTAGTGGAAGAGTTGTTTTCATCAGTGACAGCTGATTTCACTCATTCATTTATTCATTCAGTATGTATCAGGCGTCACATTCCACTATACAAAGGCCATTAAAGGTCCACAGGAACAGTTCTGACCGTCTAAAAACCTACACGCGAGTAAATCCAAAACTGTGGTCTAAATGTGAATTAACGGGGAAAATTACGCATTTTTGGCTACACTTTAACAATCGTTTCCCAATTTCTTCATGAACACAGTAAAGACTCCCAGGTTCACAAGGCCCTTTCTTCTTTCCTAAGCACATGAAAATTAACTGTTTCAGATTTTTTGAGAAGGCAGAAGGTAAAGAACTGGAAGCCTCTGCAAAAGCAGCAAATCTGGTCATTTGAAAGTAAATACAGTTTCTCGACATCCCAGACCCAAAAGTCAGTATGATACACCTAAAAGTCCTCAGGTTGCTATATACCACCGAGCCTCGGCCCTGGTGGGACCCCCTGTCTTCCCCTGCAGGCCCCGCCGTCTCCCGCTCGCACGCCCCATTCCCGAGCCCAGGAACAGGAACGTCTCTTCTCCGCGTTCCACACAGGGCCGCGGGCAGACCCATCGGGCTCGGCCTCGCAGCCTACAGCCCGCACCCGGCTGGAGCCAGGGCCGCCCCAGCCTGGAGGGTCAGAGCCCGGACTAGGGCGGGCCTGAGCTCCACTAGAGGCTGCCGAATCCTCCCGGACCGCGGCAACCACTCACCCATCAGCCGAGACCTAGCCTCCCTGCCGCAGCTCTAGGATCTGCCAACACCACGGCAACGCCCCGACATCCGGGCTACACCTCCGTGCCTCCGCCTCCCGGTAACCCAGCGACTGCTCTGAAGCCCCGCCTTGCTCCCCCGAGTCTAGGCGTCAAGCCCCGCCCCACTTCCTAGTCTAGGGTCCCAGACCCGCCCTGCTTCCGGATGTAGCTACGAAGCCCCGCCCACTTCTGGTTTCCACTCCGAGGCTCCGCCTCGTTCCCTGGTTTAGTCCCCGAAGCCCCACCCGCTTCCAGGTCTAGGCTCAAAAGCTCCGCCCCACTTCCGGCCTCCGCCCCCAGGCTCCGCCCCTCGCCCTGGTGTCCGCGCGGAGGCCTCTTCTAGAAGTCGCTCGGCTCCCTTTGGTATAGCTTAGGGTGCTCCATGAGGGACCCCCAGGGCGCAGAAGATGGAGGGCGCGCCAGCCATTCCCCAACTACCCCCCCATGACGCGAGCACACCGGCCCTCTCAGTGGTGGACATGCACACAGGCGGCGAGCCTCTGCGCATCGTGCTGGCCGGCTGTCCCGAGGTGCTCGGGCCCACGCTGCTGGCCAAGCGGCGCTACATGCGCCAGCACCTGGACCACGTGCGGCGCCGGCTGCTGCTCGAGCCTCGGGGCCACCGGGACATGTACGGGGCGGTGCTGGTGCGCAGCGAGCTGCCCGATGCGCACCTGGGTGTGCTGTTCATGCACAACGCGGGCTACAGCTCCATGTGCGGCCACGCTGTGTTGGCCTTGGGCCGCTTCGCAGTGGACTTCGGGCTGCTGTCTGCGCCCCCCGCCGGCGCGCGCGAGGTCCAAGTCAACATCCACTGCCCCTGCGGACTGGTGGCCGCCTTCGTGGCGTGCGAGAGCGGCCGCAGCTGTGGCCCAGTGCGCTTCCACAGTGTCCCGGCTTTCCTGCTGGCCTCAGGTAATCGCGGGCCCACCCTGGGGTGGGGAGCGCGGCCTAGGGCGCTGCTAATTTCATAAGCTTCGCGCCCTGCTGGAACCCAGGCGGCGCCGCTAACTCCCGCGGCCTGTTCTCACAGTTAACCAGAAGGTAATTCCAGATCACTGTAAGCAGCCAATTTACCGGGGTTCCAGGCTAGCCCAGAATATTCTTCGTAAACACCTGAGCCCTCCTAACAAGCTACTAAACACTGTCTCCTCATCTGTCAAAAGTGACTTTCACTTCTCGAAAAAAAAATTAAATAAAAATGAACCAAGCAACTCATAGGTGAAGTCGTGGATGTAGCTGCCCTTATTCTTTGAAGCACAAGAACATTTCCTAGGTTCAAATCCTAGGCACTCTGTGCAGCCTTCCGGAAATTAGCCTCCCTGAGTCTTTTTCTTAATTTATCCTATTTCATTGTTGTTTGCTTTTGTCAGGATGAAATGCGACTATGCAAGAGTCTGACAATCTTAAAAATATATAGAATGTATATATCAAAATGAAAAGATAGCAGAATGTAGAGGATTGTATACCCCTTAGCAAATCACACCATTAGAAGGTTTTGGTGGATTGCTTAGTACAGATCCTCATGCATCGTGTAAGAAGGTCATGTGTAGAACTGTAATCCTTACAAAAAAGGAGATCGCTCCAGCCGATGACATGACACCTGGTATGTGGTCTCCCTGGGCTGTCCCTCGAAAGGGCTGAATTCTAGCATAGAGAATACTATAGTATTGCTGACTGGAAGTGAGCTAAGAGCTGATTTAGTTCATCCAGGAATGGTGGTGTTATTCCTTCAGATTATCATGCCATACAGACATTCAGTTAGAAAGTTGATCTTGATCTTGCATGAAGACTTGGCTTCCCAAATTAACCAGATTATGAATGACACTGGTAGAATAGGTGTTTGTCACCGCAGGTTGCTGAGACACCCAAGTTGGTAAACACCTCTGGCGAAATTGGTACCACTGTCCCTTTAGGAGACAACAGTGTTACATTCAGATTGACATCTGAGGGAGTCAGTTGATGTGTAGGATTTGTCTTAAGAACCGCAGCAGTTTAACTAGCATGCTTACCCATTTTCCCCACAAGCAACTCCAGCAGGTTAGATTAGATGCTATAGATGTTATGCAGATTGACTACTGGCTTCAAGGTCACTTCAGTACTGGGTGGTTTAGGGCAGGGGCAGCCAACTCCTTGGGCAGTAGTTCTGAGAGTGTCACTGTGTGGCAGTGCAATGATTAGTGGGCATTTATGATCATCTAGCTATTAAGGTAATAAAAACCTATGTTCTTTACTTCAAAAATACATAAAAGTCAGGGGACAACATTCATTCAAGAGCAGTGCTCTGCCTTTTGCTCAATGTCAGTCTGTAAAAGGAGGGTTGCTGGGTTCAGCTCCACTCCACTATGATAAAATTCGAGCCCCTTTGTTTTAGTCACTGTATTCCAAGTATTGAGAACAGTGGGTAACATGTGAATGCTTGTTGAATGAGTACCTAAATACATGACAGTTATAGATTATGCTTATTGACAATATAGATGCCTGGTCCTCTTGACAATCCTATTCCCATTGAAATTAAACTTTATCTTAAAAATTAATAGATGGAAGTAACTTTGATGGACATGTGGTCCATTTTGAAGAGGAAGAAACAAAATCAGGTAGAACACTTCACCCAATTACCCACTCTAAGAAAACCAGAGCCTGAGATTTTAGAGTGGACCAGGAGAGTAGTGGTAGACTCAGCAATCTGTTCACCTGAGCTGGCTTCCTCACTGTGTTGGCCCCTGGGATTGGCAGCCAGTGCACAGTTCAAGTGCATAGTCAAAGATGGACACAGTGGGGCTGGGGATTTAGCTCAGCGGCATAAGCACCTGCCTTGTAAGCAGGCAGTCGTGGGTTCGATCCCTGGTACGATAAAAAGGAAAAAGACAAAAAAAAAAAAGTAAAGATGGACACAGGTGGACCAAGCCACAGTCTGTTACTCATGTCCTGAGATAGGTGCCGATCTATAGCATACCCACCAGAAAGCCTCAGCTTCCACATTCCAGTAGTCCTTAATTTCCATCTACTTGCCTCATTCTCTTTTCATTAAACCTGCTTTTCATGTTATAGTGTTACATCTGCATCAAGACAGTCTTTTTTTTTTTTTTTTTTTTTAACAAAGATTATACCCAGAGCCTTTGCTCTGAACTCCATCCCAGCTTTTTGAGGCAGGGTCTCACTAAAACACTAAGTTGTCTAACCTGGGCTAAAACTTATAGTCCTCCTGCTTCAACCTTCCAGAGCTCAAGGATTACAGATACAGGTATGGGATACCACATCCAACATTTTTGATCCAGTGTTGCAGCTAAGATCTGCAAACATTAATTCTTCATCATAAACTTACTCTATTTTGACACATGATGTATTAAAAGGGCTTCTGTAGACTTGTCTCTAACTCATAGCATACTAGAATCTTCATGTGATTCAGAGTGGAAAATCAGGTATATGAGAAAAGTTTTCTGCAACTTGCGACCCCATTGTGTCCTGCAGTTGACTCAGCATCTTCCCTTCACCCGCTTCCTGGTAATCTACGTGAGTGAAGGATTTTTAAGAGTCAGCAGTGCATTGGAAGGAGAGGCCTTTGGCCTCTGCTTGCACAGCAAAAAGCCAAAGTCCTCCTCTGCAGCCCTGCCCTCTCCCCTGCCTCCACTCCTGCCTGGCTGCCTCTACTCCGCACCCTCCTGTGGTGCTGGAGAGTCAGCTCAGGTCTTTCTGTCATCAGGTGGCCTCTCTCCCCAGTCCAAAGGAAGTCTACCAGCCAGTAGGAATATTTCTCCCTCTAGGACACTTGTCTTTCCCCTGCTTCCTCCCTGGCCACAAGCCTCTCCCTTAGACAGTGACCACCAGGGTGGTACCTTGTGGTACCACAAGGTGGTAACCTTGTGCTGGAGAAGAGGAAGAGAACAGAATGTGAGAGAAGTAAAGAAAGAACATTTTAGCGTCCTAAAATATATCCAGGCCCAGTCCTTTGGAAATGCAGACTGGGGTTGCAAATAGCTGACCTTCAGGTACATTTCCCGGGTGTAAGGGGCTCAGATAAAGCTCCCCTCACCAAATGATGCCATAGGAGCCAACTGCTATACAGTAGCTTTTCCTGAGCACCTACTTGAAGGACATTATAGGAGATGATGGCAAATAGAAAAATGTTTATGTACAATTTATTTAGAAAAGTTATTTTTAAAAATTTTGTTGTGACATTAGAACTGAAGAAAACGTGTTGTAAGAAAGAGTCAAATGCTACCTTAAACTATCTCTAGTGGTTCAATCAGGGACCTGTGTATTGGTTGCAGTTTGATGTCCCAGGACTTCTGTGTAGTACCTCTCTGATGTTGTCTAGAAAGGAGTCTCAGGGAAAGTAACAAACACAAACAATTGAGAGAAGGTACACAGATGTTGTCTAACTTACACAAGCATCAAGGTGCACCTTGCTGTCGTTTACCTGATGCTTACTCATTTAGAAAGTGGATTTCTACTTCATTCCTTTTTATGACAAGAAAATGACCCCCAGAATAAACATATTAAAAATACTGTGAATTTTTACTAAAATACTGAAAACTTATTTCCAAACACTCCTTTTTAGATCTCACAGTGGATGTTCCTCGACATGGAAAAATCTTGGTTGACATCGCATATGGTGGCGCATTTTATGCCTTTGTTAATGCGGCAGATTTAGGGCTTGATGTCTGTTTGGCAAAGACAAAGGACCTTGTGGATGCTGCAAGTGCAGTGACAGCAGCAGTGAAAGCTCAGGTCAGTCTTCACACCAAGTGCCCCCACTGTAGCCTGGAACAACGGAAATTATCATGTCTCAATGGAAGTGATATATGGCACATACGAACTTCTAATAGTACTAGAAATAGATATTGGTCAGTGTCTCAGGATCTACAGTAAGTCTGCTGGTGAGTTCTAGCTCTGCTGCCTACAACTTTCTTAACCTAGACAAGTTTTGTAATCTCTGTGTACCTCAGTTTTCCCACCCACAAAATGGAAAGTATGCAGTATCTGTTTTTAGGGTGTTGTGAGTGAAATAAATCAACATGTGGACTTAGAGTACTGTCTGGCCCATAAAAACTGTTCAATAAGTATGGCAGTAAGTGGTAACTATTATCTTGTTAATATGTATATGCTAATATAATTTATGGTTATTTAAACATACAAATAACACATTTCATTAATTTGAAATGTGTTTTGCTATATGTGGTTATTTTTTCGAAAAGCTTAAAAATGATTGTAAATATAGCTCACAGATATTTTCATTAGGTCTGATAAGACTCTTATAGAAAACATTAATTTTTAATTAGTGGATTTTTCTTTTTATGTGGAACTATTTTATCATTGTAACTTCTAAAGCTCTGCATTTATGTCACTTTTCTGTTCCATTAAGCAGACAAATAACAGTTAAAAATTTGGGCACAGTAACCCCACTTCATTTAAATTAAATTGTGAGAGATAGTTGTCTTAGTAGACGGGGTGACTCTGAAGCCCCTTAGAGCTCCAGCTTTCCATACAGATGACAGTTGCAGCAGAACTTGGGTTCTGTTGTTGTAGTGGCGTTCACATCACTGATGCAGATTCAGGGACAGACTACTTGTGGAGTGAGGTGCTAAGGATAATATGATATAACTTCACCTTCATTTTTCTAACAAATATTTGCCAAGAGTTTACTGCATGTTAGACACTGTTACTAATACTGCAGCTCCAAAAGAAGGACAAACTCCACTCCCAGGAGCTCAGTCAAGTGGAGAACAAGCACACCTGCGAACAGGCTGGGGTTGGGGTGCACTACCATGCAAGCGGGCCTTTAAAACCAAGATCAATATGAAGCCCTGCTTAACTTGGGTATAGATAGATTCTCAGTTTTAAGAACTCAAATTGTCCAGTTGTTTTAAATGACAGGTAAATGGGGATATGGTGTATTAATCATAAAAATATATGGAGGAAGTATAGTAATCTCATACTCTCAGGCACTACCAAAATCCAAGAATCATAAACAGGTAGACTTCTCAGCACTCAGGAGTGCTGAGTACACCTTTGGGCCCATGGAGGGCTTCAGCTGCCTGTCGGTGCCTGCTTCAACCCATGTGTATCTGCTCTCAGCACTCAGGAGTGCTGAGTACACCTTTGGGCCCATGGAGGGCTTCAGCTGCCTGTCGGTGCCTGCTTCAACCCATGTGTATCTGCTGACTTCTTCCTCTGACGTCCTTCCGTTTTTCCTTCTAGTTGTTTTTCCTGCCTCAGATCAGAATCCTCATGTTTGCTCACGGCCTGTCACCATCTTTGGTTCCCTTGCTGGTGTGAACTTTAGCACTAGACTCTCACTGACTGATTTTCCACATTCTCCCCTGCAGGCTCCTGAGAATGGCAATGTGCTGTACTTAGCTCAGCCACACCAGCCTGTAGACTGACCATGCTGAGGTCAGGGCTTCAGAGTGAACATGTATATGTATATGTATGTGCGCAAGTGTGTTTTGGGGAATGTGTATAAAACAACAGTTCCTTTAGTAGAGGATATGTTCAGAGCACTTTCCTTAGAAAGGTCTCAAAATATGATAAAAACAATAACTTCCAATAAAATGATGTTTGTTTATCTAGAGAAGGACAATATATATCTAGCAGTTAGTGTCTCACTCTTATATCTGGGAGTGCCCCATCTACATTATTTATAAAGATAAATTTGAATCGGAATATGCACTTTACACACAGTTGATTATTTCATCTGTGGTGTTTTACAGTTTAAGATTACTCACCCGGAGAGTGAAGACCTTGCCTTTCTATATGGGACTATATTAACAGATGGGAAGGATGCTTACGATGAGGAACCAACCACCAACATCTGTGTGTTTGCAGACGAACAGGTATTAATTACTGGAACAGTTTGCAGATGCCAGGACTGTGCCACTAGAATTTCGGAATGTCCTTGTCATCATTTGTTCCTACCCAGGTTGACAGAAGCCCCACTGGTTCGGGAGTGACAGCCCGAATTGCTCTGCAGTATCACAAAGGCCTTCTAGGCCTGAACCAGCCCAGGGCCTTTAAAAGCAGCACAACTGGTTCCATGTTCACAGGCAGCGCCGTGAGGGTGAGTGCTTCCTGATTCCTGGGTGTGAATGTGTGTGCTGCGGGAATGGGGAGGCCGAGTGTGGGGTACGATTCTGCACTCGGCTGTCAGGAGGGGATTTTGAAGCAGGCCAGTAAAACACTTCCATTCATTTGTGTCTTGAACCCTGGGCATCCCCCACGTGCTTTACATGGCTCTACAAGATGAGAACTGTGTTAATAGTGCAGCTAAAACACTGCTTACCTTCTCCTTTTCTTTCAAGAGTTTCAGTGGCATCCAAGAGGCCACAGGTGGGTGGTATTTCCAATTGAATGCAGCAGCAGATGTCAGAATCCAGCTGTCTTCTATGAACCAGCCACGCAAGGGGCTTGTGAACCTGTGAAACAATGCCACTTTCCTGATTAATTTTTTTTAAATAAATTTATTTTCACAAAAATATTTTTTATTAATAGGTAATAGGCTTATTTTTTAAAGTGAAGTAATGAACAAATATATGTAATTCATAGTGTAGTAAATACTGATAATAAAACTTACAAGGACTCTTAGGACATCTTCAAGTTTTAAGGTATAAAAGGGTCCTGAGACTAAATGGTTTGAAAATCATTACATTAGTTTGGAGGTTCTTGTTTTTGCTTTTTTTAAAATTCTACAAGTGTTTATTTTATGTAATACGATGTAAAGCTAAGAAAATTGAAGAAAGTGGATTTTTACAATGGAGTCAAATATTAAGTGTTCTAACTGAGCTAATTAATAAATCTCATGGTAGTAAATAAATTTACAGACAATTAATTTACATTAAATTAACCTACTCATAAAGAGTCCTCTAAGATAGCAGTCTATCCTAACAGGTGTGTTTTTAAGGCCTCCTCCTTCCCTCCCACATGCTGCTCCTCTTACCTCTCTTCATAGTTAAGAGGGCATCATCACCAGTACTTCCAAGCCACAAATTATGATCATATTTAACTTATTCCTAGTTCTTTACTTACTACATTCATTGGTCAACGGGCAAAGTCTTTCTGTATTATGCTTTCTTCCATCTTTATCAAAACTACCTAGTGACTCCGGGTTTAATCAGTGAATCACGATTCTTTCTTAATAGGTTTCTGGGTTTCTAGTTCTTCTTTCCTTGCTCCAGTTTGTCCCACATTTTACAGCTAAATTTATCTAAAATAACATTTGGCTATATCACTTTCCTTAAAACCCATCATTCATTGGCCATAGGATTAACCCTTGGATTTTTTCTTAGCATGACAAAAGAGTACAATTTGTACATCAGGTATGCACATATGCAATATTGTGATAGTACATTCTCTTCATCTTTTCTCAGGAAGCAAAATGTGGAGATTTCAAAGCTGTTATAGTGGAAGTATCAGGACAAGCCCATTACACAGGTACAGCAAGCTTTACTGTAGAAGATGATGACCCACTGAAAGATGGGTTTCTTCTAAAATGACTTCAGCAGGACTCTTAGCAGATTTCCTTCTAAAGTAATAATTACTTGTAAGTAATGCTTTCTTGAAATTATGTGCAAACCAATATCCAGTTATTCATATAAGCTAATTTTCATTCTTTTTAAAATACTATACCATGGCTAAATAGAAACTTATTATACCTCATATTTGCTAATATATTTTGGTACAAATATCACTTAAATCTAGCATGTAAAGTGCCAAAAATTCAGGAAAATTTTCTAGTTATTAATATATTGAGTAAAATTAAGATCTTTTAAAACATTACTCAATGGTAAAGATTATAATGTTTTGTTCTAAAGGTTCTTTGAGTAATATCTGAAATTGTAGTCACTCAACAATGAACTTTACAAGTTCATTATTGTCATTATTTTAGTGTTCTATTTTGAGAGGAATAATGCCATCTAAAACAGCACTCAAAGAAATGAAAAGGTACTCAACACTTAGCATGAACAACCGGGAAAGAGGGGTGGAGCAAACTGCTTTCGACTGGCATCATTCCAGCAGCAGCAGGTGTTCTGTATGCTTCAATACCAGCTCCCACAGGTACCGAAGAACTGTAAACTTATTCTGCAAAAACAAACTAGCAATCTGCATCTTTTGCTACCTCTTTAAGGCTTTTCATGAAAGGTTGAGAAAAGATCAAACTCAGAGTCTCATGAATGCTAAGCATCTGTTGTACCCCCAACCTCTTTAAGGCTTTTACAAAAGGAGCTGCCTCCTAGTTACTGAAATGCAGGTATGTGGTAAAAATTAATGACTCAAAGGGAATGAGTTACTCTTCAGCTGCATGCTAGGAAGATTTAAAACATGAAAGAAGTGCTTATAGTTAATACTTCTCACTGGTTAATACTTAGCTGTGAGCCTTGATCACTGTTAGTTGTCATAAACCAAAGTACTTACTCTCAGTAGATTCTTAGTGGAGCAGGTAATGGTATTTTACTTCAGAGCATGAAAAAACAAGTTCATTGTAACTGGCTTTGTCACCTGAATGTCAGTATTGACAATTACTAGGTCTGTGGCTTAATTATCTAACCAAAAGAAAAACTATCAAGTTAATATTTTGATTTTCCCATTATCAAAACATGTTATACTGCTTTTTACTCAATCTTTATAAAATTCAGTGACAAAATCATTTACCTCCAACAAATGACAGTATCGCTAAATCACCAAGTAATTTTCTACAGATTAGATTTGCTGTACTTTTTTAAAAAAATAAAATCAGAACCACTGTTCTCTCAAAGTCTTGTATCACATTAATTTGAAAAAAATATGTTGTTCGTAAGTTAGATTTTATAGCATTTTATAATGTGCCATATCCACTCTCTCCACTTTAATGAAGTACATGTGATGGTTGACTGATTCGTGTCAGCTTGAATAAGAGAAACTCAACTAAATTGTCTCAGCTGTTCTACAATCTATGGTGTAGAAGACTCACCTCAGGGTGGCTCCTCACCTGGATGCTGTACAGGGGAAATGAGGAAGGACAGAGTTGCTTCTGATTCTTTGGAGGAGCTCCAGTCTTCGCCTGGCCTTTGGACGTCATCTCTGGGCTTTCAGCACAAACTCTTCAGCCTTCCATCACAGACCCACTGGCCTCCTGATACAGACTCACACCAGACACCACAATGAGCTCCAGACCTTTCACTGGAACTTCTGGTCTCTAGTGTGCAGACACCTTGCACACTCTTCCACATTTGACTCTGTGGGCAGCCACTGTAAGCCGAACATGTAAAATTCTTACACATTCATGTATGTTGTGTGGTATCTGTTTCTGAAGTAAATATTTATGAATACAGTGCATATTAGTATCCCATAGCTACCCAGACGGGAGTTTTATCCATTATGTCACGCAGAATTGTCAGTTCTTGATGATAAAAACAAGCAGATGATTTTTGGCTGGTTTTATTACTTTTTGACATTCTCCAGAGAGCACAAGGAGGATCAGCCTCACTGGGGCCCGGCCTGGCCCTCAGGATGTTCTGTGTTGTGTCAATGTCTATTCCATTGTACAGGTGAGGGAGATGCAGGTCCTACCTGTTAAATAACTCTCCTTAGGGCCTTCTGGAGATCACAACTCCGATATTTTCCTAGTACACTTCCTCACAGATAGGACATCCAGAACTCACTCAAGGTAAGATACTTTGGTGAAGATGTTATATTTTTCTTGAACATTAAAAGATGCGTATCACCTAAACTCTTTCTGAATTCTAGTCTGAGTCAGAGTCTAAGCCCTGCCATACAGTGAATCCTACTCTATATGTCACCATGTCTCTTGGAGTGGAAACTCTAGGGACATGAACTCCCCTCTGACCTCACCTGTCTAGGCAGTCACACAGCCCTGTTGGTCCCGCCTTCTAGACCAGTGACAGCAAAACTTTCAGAGACCAAGTGCCCAAACTGCAAAGTGCCAACACTGCAGTTCAAACTGAATGTCTGATGCTCAGTGGCTGAGTCAGCTTGGTTCGGGTGCTGACAGAGAAGGCTCTGCATGTGCACTGCAGCATTACGTGTTGTGGCTTCACCACCACCATTCCAGAAATTGCTCCTCTTGACTCACTGGTCTCCACAAGGGCTTCACCTCATCAGCTCAGTCGCCTTCCTCTTACCAATTTCTTCACCCAAGTATTTAAACAAGTGCCTCCCAAACAGAATGAAGCAAACGTCCCTGTCTCTCCTTACCTTGCTGTCACCCTAACCCTGTCCCTTGGTATTCCAGCTTTCAGACTTCTTCCTGTGCCTGCTGGGTGTGTTTCATCACTCTCCATTTACACTTTAGCATCCATAGTCCAGGTTCTGCCTCATCACCTGTTGCACACTGCTTGACCAGATGTCCAATCTGATGTCACTGTGGGGTTTATGGAATCCCCAGTGGGTGCTGCAGGAAAGTGGTACAGACCAGAGTGCCCTTGGTGCTATGTTCACCTGCAAAGCCTCTCAGTGTGACCCCTGGGGCCACTGGTTGGGGCCTTAGAATGTGGCAGTCCCCATTCACAGCCACTGGCACTGCAGTTGTATAGACTGTGGTCCAGCTCTCCTTCATCATGCACTTCTCTTCCAAAGCCACTATTCCATCTGGGTGCTTTGTGTGATAACTCGGACCCTGGTATAAAATCCAAGGAAGCAAGAAATTAAAACTTGGGAAGCAGAGGCTTTATTTCTAGGCCTGGTGATGAGTCTCCGGAAGCCAATTTGGAGACTGCGTACCTGACAGCTAAAAGTCAGGGCTTTTATCTTGTAAATCCACAAACAGCTGCAGGTCACACAATGTAAGGAAGGGGATGGGGGTGTGGCGCAAACAGAAAGGGCGATTACACGTCTTGGGAAGGGCAAGATCAGGTGAGGGTTGTGCTAACAAGCAAGGCTCCCTGCATACAAGCAAGTTTAGATAAGAAGAAATCTTGTTTTTCTCAGCAAAGAATAGAGAAGTCTAGCAGCAATTAACAACCTTAGTTACCTTACTTTAGCACCACAACTGTTATTTGTAGAGGGCAACAATGGTTAACATATCAATTAGGTAAGATTTTACAATTCTTTACAGAGGAGAGCATTGATTAACATATTAATCCTTTACTCAGAGGGAAAGGAAAACACACATTTACAGTAAGGCCAAGTTACAGGTATTGCTATGATATAAATGAAGCTATTTTTGTGAAGAATGTACAATCTAATACAATCTAATGCAATTAACACAATTTGTGACCGGGCCACCAGCTTTGGCGCAATAGTTAGGGTGGCTTAGGTTATAGTTATAACATTTATTATAATATAGTTAGGTTATTTTTATTTATTTATTATCATATAGTTAGGTTATAACACTTTGTAAGGCCCTGTTGCTCACACATCAGTGTGTGTAGGAATCACCTGGGAATTAAAACAGCAGGTTCTCATTCATTAGATGGAAGTGGGCTCTTTCTAACAAGCTGCTGTAGGGAATATAGAACTTTCTAACAACTCTCTTTTCCTTACCTGTTTTGGCCTGAGTTGTTCAGTTTAGTCTCTCTTCAAAGCAGCTTCTCTTAACTGAAATATTGTATGTGAAATACTGTACATGAAGATCCCGTTTTTCAGCTAAAGGATAGAGCTGAAGAATACAGGCAACTTGCAAACTCAGAAGAGACTGAGGAAATTACCTCACCCTCTCTTCGGAGAAACAAAATGAGACAGCTGATTTCCCCGCAGACCAAAATGCCTTGTTACTATCACTCACCCACCTTCACTTCCTTTGACTGTTAAACTTTCACTGCTCCCTAAGCATTGCATCCATGATTCCTTTCTTACGTAGCGTTCTGAGCCTATGTTGACCCATGTGTGCCATGGTTTTTTGTCTCAAAAGAGGCTGACAACCCCTGAATCTCTAAATCCTGAGGTCCAGAGCCACAGTGCAGATTCATTACTTAAAGGGACAGTCTAAATTCATCTTCTCCCCAGAAGGTGCCCCTCTTCCCAAATTCCCTAACTCCATAATTGGCACTGCCATCTGCTCCCTGGGAAGCTGGAGCTTATCCCTGGGTCCTTGGGCACACCCTCTGTCCTTTCCGTCGGTGCTCCTGAGGGCATAGTGGGGGTGGCCTACATCAGCCCTTTATCCCTCAATCAGGAGCACCCCCCTTCCCTTCAGGAAACTGCTTCACTATCCTGTGGTTTGCTGCAACTGCTGGAAGCTGGCACTTTGATCAGATCCTCTTTCCAGGACTTGAGGTGGTGAGCAAGGACACAGGTTTCAAATGGATGGATGGATGATGGTGCTTGAGAAAGATACCTTCAGTTAGCTTTGTCTTTTTCTACTCAGACTTAACCTTGATGGGGGACTGGCTGTCAGATTGAAGTATGATTTGAACTTCTCTGTCTTTCTAGCACTTCTCTGTCCTCTGTGCTTCTCTGTCCTTCTGTATGTAAGTCAGTGTTCTCACTACTGATGATCTTGTATCAGAGGAACACGAATCTCAACGCTACCTCCTGAACATTTCTTTCCTGTAAATACTGGCTTCAGCTCTCATTTTCCAACTGGGCTGCAGTACAGCTTTTTCTCCCCAAAATCACCCAAAACATTGGTTTCATATCTAGCAGATTGCTAAGTGCTACGGACGGGATATTTAATACAAAGCCAAAGGAAGAAAGGTAGTACTATTCGGACAGTCATGAAAATGTAATGATAGGCATTGTTTATATGCTACAAGCAGAAAGTACAGAGCGCTGTGACCCTTAACCAGGGAACAGGATACATGGGAGTAGGAGATACCAGTTAAGTCAGACAGTCTATACGTGGCCAGGATATGGGAGAGTTGGAGGGATCGGTGCTTTCTAAGCAGAGGGGATTGCTAGTCCAAATGCCCAGATAGAAGATTTAAGGAACTCAAACAGGCCACTGTGACTACAAATCTATAAAGAGCATTTGTCCTGCAATGTGGCATAGGGGCTAGAGTAGGCAAGACCACTTAACAGGTGACAGTGGTAGTTCAAAGAGAGAGCTAAGATTCAGGTGGACACAGTGATGGCAGAAGTGGGTGGACAGAAGATATTCAGCAAGTAAAACTCCCAGGTGCTGGAGATGTATTGGATGCAGGCTAAGATAAAGGTGGGGGGCCATAACAAGAAAGAACCCTAGGTTTTTGGCTTGTAAGCCTGATAGACAAAGGTGCCATTTTCTGACACAACACTGAAAAGCAAGGTTTGCAAGGGAAGTGGGAGAAGGGTCATGGGGTTTTTTTTTTTTTTTTTGGTCTTTTTCCTTTTTATTGGTACCGGGAATCAAACTCACGACTGCCTGCTTGCAAGGCAGGCACTTATGCCGCTGAGCTAAATCCCCAGTCCTGTGGACTCCCTTTTGAATGATGAGTGAAGTGCTTTTGCACACCCTGGGGAGATGCCACCCAGCAAGATCTGGGAGCCAGCGCCAGAGATCATAGTCCTCAGCTACAGTGCCTGCATCCCTTTCTCCCTCACTACAATTCAATCCCATAGCATGGCACAGGGCTCTTTTTCAGAAAGGGGCCCCAGTGAATTCCATCATTTATTTCTTCACACACACACACACACACACCACCTGCATCTTAGGGTTTAGACACTGTTCATCCTACACATGCATCAGAAGCCCTTCCCCCTTTTGTTCTTTTTAGGAGGGACAGTTAATGTCAACTCTTGTGCCACCTCTTTATCAGCTACTGTGTAAGAAGCACCAGTCAGCTACACAGAATTCTACACTTGTATTTTTAACACCATTTCATTTGTTTTTGCCTAAGGCGGTAGTCCTCTTTGGGTAGAATGTCATGTTAGATGATTGTGTTTGCCAAATAGAAAAGTCTGTAATTATTCTAGTTTTGTCCTGATTGATTCTTGGCTGGGGTTGATTTTGTCCTTAGGGAAATTTGTACGTTTATACACCACCCTGGGAGGGAGAGGATGCTCCCACTATCTGAATACTGAGGTCACCCCCACCACAGAGAATTATCTGACCTGAAATGTCAGTGATGTTGAGGCTGAGAATCCCAATCTTGGTCCAGTATCTTAAAAGTACTACTTTTCAGACTGAGTTTCCTGGAGGTATTTCACTTCATTGATACAAGTATTCAAAACTCTAATATATTACCGACCCCAAAATCCACAAATGTGCTAGTCATTCCTCTCCATGGGACCCCAACCCATGTCCCCACTGAGCTATATATCCTTTTCATTTTGTAAAATTCTGAGACAATTTGCAAAATTGCCTAGACTGGGCTCAAGCTTGTAATCCTCCTGCCTCAGCCTCCCAGAGTTGTGGGATAGTAGCCCTGTGTCACCATGCCTGGTTGTTTTTACTTGGATCTGTGTTTGTGAAATCTGACGGCCCATCAGGATTAGCCAAAGGGTTTGTTAAAATGCAGGTGCCTGGATCGGTGGCCCCTCCACTCTTGGGTCAGATTTAGATGGGGCCTTGAGTCTGCATTTTTGAGTGCTGCAAACACGTTTAGTAATAATATTATGCGGGTTGGGACTCAGGCTTTGCAAACCACCGCTTTAGAGAAGAGCCTAGGGTTAATCCAAAGGTGTGGTCACACTAGGTCCCTTCCCAGTACTTCGTGGTGCAACTTTCAGGAAGCCACCCATTTTTTGTTTCCGCATGTTCCTGTCAGGTGTCAGCTGCATCTCACCTGTCTGGCAGCACCTCAGACTCATGGAACCACAGTGCAGAGCTCCGATGAAGGGCCCAGGCAGGCTCAAAATCCAGTTCTTCCCTTTACCCCGGGCATTGGCCTTTCATAACCCTGGCTCCCTGACCTTGAAAAGGAAACGAACCCTCACTCCACCCAGATTCTGGCTCTTCAAGGTCCCTGAGAATCAGGCCCTTATGCTGCTGAGCTAAATCCTCGCCCAGGGAATGTGCATTTCAACAAGCTAACTCCATCTCGCCAGGTGTGGTCCTCAGGTCTCTCCACCACAATCCGCGTGCAGTTCCTGGGCACCAGCCCAGACCAACGAGTCCTCAGTTTGATCCTGAGGGTGTCTCAAGTTTAAGGATGGCAGTTTTCCACTTAAGGTCCTACATTCCCGCCATGAACATCTCTGGGAGCAAAAGCCCCCGCAGGCCACGCGCGCCTAGCAAAAGCGCCTTTGTGGAGCTGCTCTCTGGCGCGCGCTGCAGACCTGCAGAACCGACCCGCGAAGGCCAAGTAGGCGGCAGCGGGGGCGGCTTTCCTGGGGTACCAGGCTGGCGGACCGCCCCGCGCTCCTGCGTAAACACGCGGTTCCCCCGGCAACGCCTCGAGCCCACGTCAAAGGCGCCACAGGGGCCCGCGCGAGTGCAGTCACTCCAGCGGCCGGCCGAGCGGCCGCGCCCGGGTGCGAGATGAACAGGCCCGGGCATGGCATCGCCGCGCCCCGGCGTCCTCTCCGCGCCCGGCAGGACGCCTCCCGCGCTCTGGCTCGGCTCCGCGGCGGCCACGGCAGTGGCCGGGAACCGCAGCGAGGCGACCGGCGGCGGCGGGCCCGGGGCACACGGGGCAGCGCTGGCAGCGCAAGCGCTCGTGCTGCTGTTCATCTTCCTGCTGTCTAGCCTGGGCAACTGCGCCGTGGTGGGGGTGATCGTCAAGCACCGGCCGCTACGCACGGTCACCAACGCCTTCGTGCTGTCGCTGGCGCTGTCCGACCTGCTCACGGCGCTGCTCTGCCTGCCCGCCGCCTTCCTGGACCTGCTGGCGCCGCCGGGGGGCCCGGGGCCCTGGCGCGGCTTCTGCGCCGCCAGCCGCTTCTTCAGCTCCTGCTGCGGCATCGTGTCGTCGCTCAGCGTGGCTCTCATCTCGCTGGACCGCTACTGCGCCATCGTGCGGCCGCCGCGCGACAAACTGGGCCGCCGCCGTGCGCTGCAGCTGCTGGCGGGAGCCTGGCTGGCGGCGCTGGGCTTCTCGCTGCCCTGGGAGCTGCTGCTCCGGGCGCCCCGCGCGCCCCCTGCCGCCGCCGCCGCCGCCGCCGCCGCCGCGCAGAGCTTCCACGGCTGCCTCTACCGCACCTCGCCAGACCCGGCGCAGCTAGGCTCGGCCTTCAGCGTGGCGCTAGTGGTGGCCTGCTACCTGCTGCCCTTCCTGCTCATGTGTTTCTGCCACTTCCACATCTGCAGGGCCGTGCGCCTGTCTGACGTGCGCGTGCGGCCCGTGACCACCCATGCGCGCGTGCTGCGCTTCTTCAGCGAGGTCCGCACCGCCACCACCGTGCTTATCATAATCGTCTTCGTCATTGGCTGCTGGGGCCCGTACTGCCTGCTGGTGCTGCTGGCTGCCGCCCGGCAAACACAGACCAGCCGGGCCCCCTCGCTGCTCGACATGCTGGCCGTGTGGCTGACCTGGGCCAACGGGGCCATCAACCCGGTCATCTACGCCGTCCGCAACCCCCACATCTCTATGCTCCTGGGGCGCAGCCGCGAGGAAGGTTACCGGACTAGGAACGCGGGCGCCTTCCTAGTCAGCCAGGGCCCGAGTCTGCAGCCTCGGAGCTGCACTCGCCTTCGGAACCGCTACGCCGGCAGGCTGGGGGCCTGCGGCCAGACGTCCTCATCCCACGCAGTCAGCGGGGCGGGAGGAGAGTTGGCCTTGTGGGCCCACAAAAATCCGGTTGTGCTTTTCTGCCGGGAGGGACCAACAGAGCCCGGGACAGCAGTGGCCAAACAGCCTAAATCCGAGGTCCGAGATACCAGCCTCTGAGAGTTGGGACCGACCGCTTGGGCAAGAAACAAGGCAGCTTTCCGCGGAGACTCGGATTTCACGACAGTGGAGACAGGAGAGTTACCGCTTCCTGCATTGTAAAATACTGGGTTCCCTTCTTCAGAAGTGCCGAAAGGAATGTAAATGCAAACATTAAAGCAAATCCTAAGCCACACAACCAAGCATTGTAAATTGTAAGTGCCAAAAAACAAAACTCAGCCACCACTCAAAAGCTCATATTACAAGAATCACACTGTGAAGCAAACAAATCACTGAATGCAGTGTATGTTGAAACAACAGAGTTTTAGGAATGATCCCCAGAGCTGTTGAAGGCCCTTCGAATCACCAGCACTCCACAAAACGTCAGCTTCCACAACCACATTCCACAGGCTTCCTGTGCTTAGGTTTGGGAACAGAAAGTTCCTATTCTTACCTAAATTGATGCACTTCTTCCCTAAGCGTGTGATCTTTGTAGGAAGTTTTAAACTCAGTTCCCATTTAAAACCATTTTAGGATTTTGAAAGGATGGGTTTATTATTAGATGAAGTGCAGCTATCTGAAGGGCAAATGCAAGAAAAACGGCTGTTTTTAAAAAGTGTTTCAGGGGCTGGGGATTTAGCTCAGCGGCGTAAGTACCTGCCTTGCAAGCAGGCGGTCGGGAGTTCGATGCCTGGTACCAATGAAAATGAAAAAGAAAAAATGTAACTAAAAAAAGTGTTTCTCGAAGCTGGGGATTAACTCAGTGCTGGAGTGCTGGCCTGGCTGAGCACAAGTCCCTGCCGTTGATCCTCAACCTTGTAGGATAAAAAGTAAAGTATTCCAAGATTATTCATACAAATTACTGTCCTTTCTACCTCTAGCCCCCAAATTATCTGCCTCTGGAAACGTGAAGGCTTTGTCCTTATTCTAACCTGTTGCTCTGTTTCCTTTTAGGGTGCCACTGTCAGAATGCTTTCATAATATAAAAAAATTTATAATAGAAATTTTTGTTTCTTTTGTGGTAAATTTGATGTTAAACTAATATGAAGTTAAATTGATTGAATAAGGTGACTATTCTGTAAAGTAACAAGTTGACTTTCCTATATGACTTTTTACTTAACTAAAGGGGATTCCAAAGAGAAAGTCTAAGAGTAATTCGAGAGATGGCCACATTCTTAGAATCGGGTAGAACTGTCTCAGAAGTCCTGTCCTTCCACATTTGTAACTTTGTGTATTTTTAATAGCCGATTGCTGCTTTATGGTTATGACTTTTATACAATCGTCTTCATTTGGAAGTGAATGTAGGTGTCAGACTGTTATGTGGAGTAGGGTTTATGGAGCAAAGCTGGAGAGATTCCTCAGCAAACTAAAAATAGCTGCAGAAATGTGCACAACAAAGATGTTTCTATAGTAATTTAAAAGTGCAATCTAGGGGGCTGGGGATTTAGCTCAGCGGCATAAGCGCCTTCCTTGCAAGCAGGCAGTCGTCCTGAGTTCCATCCCCGGCACCGATACAAAGGAAAAAGACAAAAAAAAAAAAAAAGTGCAATCTAGGACTTGTGTATGTGAAATTTCTCACATCGAATGCCACTGTACACTGAATTGCTCACATTTCAAAGTGATCTCCTGTTTATCCTTGTTTTCTTCCCTACCATCTTGTTCCTCTTCTCTTCAGCGTCTCATGGCCTTAATTGAATGAGTCCTTTGACCTAGTTATGAAAAGACATTGCCTGTCACATAAAGATTTCCATGTGAAATAACCAGCATTTTTTTCTTGTAAGGTGTTTAAGGGTGTTTGTCAGTATTTAAGTCTTTGTGTGACACGTTATTATTTTGTAATCAAGGCTGGAAATACAGGATTCCTGTCAGAACAAAGTACATTTTAATTTTCTGCTTCTCTATGTATCATCACAATCAGAAGTTTGTAGGGTATCTATATATTTTGCCACAGTCTATATAGTTCAATCAGATGAGATCGCCTCTCCTCCCTAGCACTTGCATACAATATGCATAAATGCAGCTGGACTAACATTTAACAGAAATCTGCTTGTTGAATGAAAAGCAGAATTTGCTTGTTGCTTTGTGACATTGTGAAAAACAGCTTGCAGGATGTAGAGAGAAATGGTAAAGTCTCCCAATATTGGAGCAGACAATAGAATAAGAATTCCACAATTGTAAACAGAGGGCAGAAAGAGTGAGGATGTGAGCATGAGATGAGCCTGCCTGGTGACTGAGGGAAAGCTGGGTGATTGGAAGTGACTGGCACTGGCAGTAAGAGCTTTAGGAAATAAAAACAGGGTGGGGGTGTGACTCAGGGCTAGAGCTCTTGCCTTACACAAGGCCCTGGGCTTGATCCCCAGCCCCACGTGTGCACACAGACACACACACAAGAAAAGGAAAGGAAAGAGAAAGAAAAACAGTCCTTCAGTGAAGGAGATTTCAGAGAAGAAATGACGTAGAAAAGAGGCCATTCTATTAGTGGCTTAAAGACTCATGCTTGACAATAATGGGAGAGGAGAGGGGAGAAGCTTCTAAGTTCCTGAACAACTCGTGACGTCCAGTGTGCTTGTGTGCGTGTATGCCCACAATGTGTGCTTATTTTTTAATTTGTAGTTATAAAACTGTTTGGTGGTAGAACTGGGACTCACACTGCAGTCTGTCTGGCCCTAAGAGCTTCACGTTTCCTTCTTTGCCTTCTGTGCCCCTCAAAAATCTTTGGGCAGGAAACCGAGGATAGGAAGTTGTGGGACTATCATCTTCATGAACTGCTGTTTTTGTTTCCTGCTCTGTCGTGGACAAGTTCCTGACCTAGAGCTATTACATGGAACAAGTCACAGTATCTGTCTGCAAGGGGCTTACAACCTAATTGAGGGCATTGTGCTTTATAATGATCATCCATAATCAGGGCTCTGATCCAGTTATGGAGAAGAAAATGTAGGGCATTTTTCATAAAAGATTATTAATGAAAGGAGGTGAATTTGGAAGCAGAAGATAAGCAGATAAAGGCTAGCAACTTACCTGCCTCAGTGTAAATACTGTCTTGAGTAAAATGATGATTACAAATCTAAGGCTTAGACCTTCTCTCATGTTACAATGAATGTGCAATTATATGAGTTAGTGGGAGGAGGAAAAGAACAACTATTAAGTCTTGGGATTAGATATCACAATATAAAGGTCAATATAATCTTTCGTATCCCCTTTGCTACCAGTTTGTTTCATTTGGGTCGCAATAATAACAACAAACAAGTAGTGCTCAGAGTAGAATGTACATTAGCCCATTAATCTTCAGAACAGCTTTAGGAAAGAGGACTGTTACTATCCTTCTTCCAAGTTTACAGATTAAAAAAAAAAAACAATGCAGAGAGATACTATGTGCTTTGCCTAAGATTCCGTGGCTAGCAAGTTCCAGACATAAGTGGTATACCTGGTATGTTGTTGCCTGAAGTCCTCCCTTAAGTATCACATGAGACACTGCCTGTCTCATTTGTAAAAGAGGACAGGAAACCTGGGAGAGAACCAAAGAAGACAGGCAACCGACAAGGCAATGGGAGAAGTACATAGGATAACATTTTAATTTAGAGAACAGGTGTATAAAGTGTGTGTGTGTGTGTGTGTGTGTGTGTGTGTGTGTGTGTAAGTGTATAAAGATGTCCTGAGTAGCTATTTTCTGGAGTAATCCAACCCTTTGAATGATGACCAATATCATTCATCACTATCTTCTGCCCATCCATCCTCTGCTTTTCTTGCTCCAGGGCAGCTGAGCACAGTTGGAAAAAAACTACAATCACGTCAGTTAGTATCCTGTGCCCTGGAGTCCATTGCTAAGTCTGGCTCTTCCACCACGGTCAGCAATCTGAAACTTTTTCCCTTTCAACTATACTTACTTTCCACTTTGGGGACTCAGATATTCTCCACTCCAACAGTTAACCAGCCCTATCATCATGGAAGATGGCTTTTGTTCCTGATATATATAGATACAGATATATATTCATACTTATCATATATACCTTCATATTTTAGCCATAAAACCTGAAAAAATGACCTCAATTTATACTAGTTCTCAGTTTTCTCTTTCCAAGTGCAGAAGGACTGGGTCTATCAAGTCCTAACCGAGATCCCCAATCTCTTAAATGAGTATATGGTGGAGATTTAAATAAAATGAGACAAGTTTTATGATTTTAAGGCTCTGGGAGGGTCAAAACCCTTTAGTTGAGCTCGAGACTCTAAGGGCTAAGACAAAGACTTCTCTGGACCACCCACTTTATTTATTAGGTCCAACAACAAAGGGCGGGGAAACTGAGGAAAGTGCAGGCAATGAGCAGGACCTTGGGAGTCACTTCAAGGATGTCTCCAAGTGATAAGACAAGTCAATTCAGTAGAACTGTCTTATCATGAAGACATGGTAGGAGTAAGACTGTAGGAATAATTTCTGCAGCTGCAGGCTTTAATCTACCTGAGCTAAGTGTCTGTAGCTGCGGCCTTATCTTACCCTTTGAGGTATCTCTGGCCTCACAGGCCAGTACAGGTCTCAGCCAGGACTCGTGATTCACAGAGGTTCACTTACTATGAATCAGCTCCTGTTGCCAAGCAAGGGGCCTAGGCCTAGGACAGACTCACAGATAAACATAGAAAGCCAGTTAGTAAAATTTAAATCCTGCTCAGAGCCACTTCATAGTGGTCTCCAACATGTCCTCCCTTTTATTTTTGTAATAAAGCTGGATCAGGGTAAGATGCGATTGAATGTTATGTAGGAGTCCACCATCTTGCTCCTCTTTGACAGACTATGAATAGAATAAGGAAAAACACACAAATTACTCCCAGTATATCAACATAAAGCCAGAAATGTGCCTTCAGATAGTTGAATGGATTTAACTGATCTAAAGCATCCAAAAGTTTGTCTCAATCTTGAATTTGTTTATCAAATTTTTGGGTTTGTTGGGACATTGACAACGCCTCCTTCTGGAGTGCATCAACGTCCATAGTAACATTTTGATGGATAGCTCCTTGTACATGTTTCTTAATATCCTCCCAAGGATGCAAAGATTTATTATAATGCAAGGGAGTTATGCAGAAATGAGTGGCCTTGTAATGGTACAATTTAGGAAGTCAGTCTAGTTCATGATAAATCTCAGGTGAAGAATCTGCCCAAGTAATGGGTCTAAGTAGTGGGTGGATCAGAAACATAAGTCCATTACTCCACCCCTGAGACACCTGTCATATATACACATACTGCCAGAAGAGCCTTTATGGCTGGTGGAATTCCCCTTCTGGTGACTGTATTTCTAGCCTCCCATATTGTAGCTTGGATGCTGTTCCACTGGATCACTGGTCTTCTCTCCTGGTCTCTTGAGGGAGCTAGAGGTCGATTTTCTGGCAGACTGGCAGTCTCCCTGGGCCCAGGTTGGTGGAGCCATCACCAAGGCTGTCCTCAGCATTGGTTGTCTCCCATCAAGGCTGCATATTTCTTATGGATCTTTCACCTGTTAAGACACAAGCATAACCTTGCTTCCACATTATTAGCTGTATTGATCCTTTTAAAGTTTAAATTAAGCATGAAAAAGGCAAAACTTGGTCTATCTGTAGGGAAAATAAGAATGTTAAAAGAAATCTTTTAAATCAGTTATGATGAGAGGCCAGTCTCTGGGAACTGTAGTTGGATTTAGCAGTCCTGGCTGCAGTGCCCCCTAGGAAGTAAGCAAGCATTTACAGCTCTTAAATCTTAAATCTTGTAACAACCTCCATTTGACTTCTTTGGAATAACAAAGATAGTAGTATTTAAAGGGCTAACTGAGCTTTCTAAATGTCCTAGCTGCAATTGTTCTTTAACCAGTTTGTGCAATTGCGTTAGCTTCTTCTTTTTAAGGGGCCACTGATCTACCCAAACAGGCTCCTTAGTTTTCCATTGTAAAGGCAGATCTGTTTTGGGGGGAGAAGCATCAATGGCCCTTGTCAAAAAACCTGCTGATATCCAATATCTTGCCTGTCATTTTTAGGTATAATCTTAACAGGCTGTTTGATTCCTTGTAAGTTTTTTCCTAGTCCTTTGTCCTTCTGATATCTCATTTTTGATAGGATTATTTCCAAAAGATGAGAAGTATAAAACAAAAAGAGGCCTTTATTCTGAGAACATGGGGAGAGATGACCGGCACCCCCCACCGCTGGCATCCGGTGATCTCTCCATGGAACACGTGGCGTGGAGGGTATGTAAGTAGCCTTGGTTTGGGGTGGAACCTAAAGGGGGGCATTAGGGATTCACGGGTATCCCATTGGTCCTAGGTTTGGCTCCATAGGTAAATTCCTAGGGGCAGGGGAGATAGGGGCTTCCTGGTTCCGGTTGAGGTTTTCCTGGCTACAGTGTCCTGTCTGGGCCAAAAGCCTTTCAATTTTAATCATCATTTTCTTAATCTTAGGATCTGAATCTATTTGTTCAGTTTCCAAATTGGTACTTGTTTGTTTAAAATCAGAATCGCTAGTCAGCACTAATTTCCACTTTAGTAACACATCTCTTCCCTACATGTTAACTGGAATAGGTACCATATAAGGTAAAAAGAAACCTTTTTGTTGGTCTGGGTCCTCATAAGGCAAAGGTGAGGCACTCTGTAACACGTGCTGGGGGTTCCCAGTCCGATAAGGGATGTAGGGCCCCTTTGTGTTGGCCATATAGCAGGCCATTATTCTAATGCAATTATAGACACATCCACACTGGTATCTATTAGACCTTTAAAGTATTTTCCATTAATCTTTATAAAACACATAGGCTGGTTTTTAGTCACTTCCTGTGTAAAATAAATTTCTCTTTTTGTAGTCTTGCTCTGAGTGTCTTGCTCCTTCCTGAGCTGTCTTAACAAAAGCAGGCTTCTGTACAGGTAACAAAA